TTTCACTCTCCTTTAAAGAAAATATTTGCCAAACAAACCTGACATGAAAAGCATATTATCACAGCTCACCCTCTTCTGATAATTTAAGCAATTGAATGTGAGATGCGCGCATTTGCTTCATTTGCAGCCTCACATCCCTGTGAAGCTAAAAATAGCTGCATGTGTTCTCATCTCATATCTCTTTGTCATCCAAGTCCTGTTTTTTAAATATGGAGGAGGGGCTAAAAACAGAAACACTGCTTCACCAAAGCCAGACAAGAGACCAAAAAAGGTAATAAGAGCTGAGAGGAGAGTGCAGCAGAACACATCTGATGAACTGAACTCAAATGAATTTAAAATGCATGTGTGGGCATGTTTGTTTGTGTGTGCTTGCAGGATTTGAGAGTGCCTGTGGGAGCGTGAATGTGAGTGTGGTGGCACTGTCTGTTTCCTCAGGCTCCTTCACGCGCCGCACACAGAAAGAGCATCTCACCCTTCGTTCCTCAAGAGCGTTAAACATAACATGTTTCCCTGACAACCGTAAGCTGTGGTCAGTTTTCAGAAGGCAAAGCTGCAACGTCTCCCGACATTAGGTGAGGCAGTTTAGCGGTAATGAGAAGTTGTGATGGACTCAGGAGCACAGGAGGAAGGTCGGTGTAACCTTTTTGGGGGAAGGGTGCTGAGCAATTAAAGCAGTGTCCCGCAGGCCACCCGAGCAGATTTGCAATTCAAATGTATAACATCTCCCGGGGACGAAACTCCCATTACTCAATGGTGACCTATGCAAATCCGCCGTTCAAATGTTCAGATCTTATTAGTGTTTGATTAATGCACTTTGTTGGAGATGATATGGGGCGGATGAGCTGTTTCTGATTTCTTCCAAGCACACAGTAACACAAAATACATTTTACTTGTTTATAATGAGCGATTGCGTTTGACTTAGGCTATCTTATGATCATGAATTGTTGATTTTAAATCCAGAGCTAAAACAGATTTACACAAGTTGATCAAAGCAGAGATCAACCTTTTAGCAAATACAATTATGGGCCTTAATTATTCCTTAAGTCAAGCTTGCATATTGAGCTATCAATTGTTAAGAACTTGAAATGTTTCTATTCTAATCTAATTTGTTTTAATTTTAATTTTCAAAGACCACAAAAGCTTTAAACTGACCCAACAGGCTTCACAGACACAGGTGGGGTAGGTAATTTTGGAGAAACCAGCTCGAGTGCGGTAGAATTTGAAAATACAGCCACAAATCTGCCACTTCCTTACAGAGCCCCTCCTCCAACATACACGAACGCTCACATGACCAATGAGGGCACGAGATAAGTTTGTGCACAGATGGAAGGCTGACAGGCAGGTAGGCCATCCAGTTATTTTAGCCGGGCCGGCTCAGATGATTGGTCGTGCTTTTTACAGCACGGCTTCCACAGATGACATTTTAATGGATTTTTTGTCAAAGCACTTAAAATATTCATTGCTATCGGGATGTTAAGAGCGTTCCATGGAATATAACAAAAAGTGTATGTAGAGACATTTTCCAGAAAGGGAGCGGGAGCATTGTGTGTATGGGAGGAAGTCATGGAGATACATTATGGCTAGAACAAAATAAGAGAACAAGAAGAATCTTTGCTGAATCCGCAGTCAAGCTTAAATCCATCTGTCGTTGCAGCCTATTGACACAGTGTGACATATGCTCTTTAAACGCAATGCTATCAGCAACAGGCAGACATACTGCAAAGCAAACAGATCATTACAACATGAGAGCCTGACAGTGAGCTAATAGAAATGTTGCCCGTCTCAAGCATCGGAAAGGATCAAAATGGCTGTCAGCGTGGTTACGCGGGGTCAGAAGTAGCCTGCCAGAACATCACTACTCTTCTATCAAATATAATCTGAACGGATGAGAAACTGCCATGCTGCATAAGCCTGGAGGCGTACTGACTCACTCCATTCTGCAGTTTATTCGTTATTGTTCCAGAGGACATTATAAAACCTAATTTGGTAACCCTTACTATGACAGTGTCCATTAAACTCTGTGCAACCTTCCTAATTGACTGCAGCAAATTCCTACTGTCTCCTATGTTGCTCTTTTATTCCCAGCAGTGTTCCAGCTGGGACTGTGCTTTCATTCAATCTGCTGCGAGTACATTACATGTTACTTGATAGACGCTTTTATCCAAAGCGACTTACATACTCAATACTGTGGACAATCCCCACAGGAGCAATTTGGGGTGAAGTGTCTTGCCCAGGGACACAGCGACATTTGCAGTGGGGTTTGAACCTGTGACCCCCTGATCCGAACACCAAGGCTCTATCCACTGCACCACACTCCTCCCTAGTACATTTTTATTTGATTTTCTTTCTGCTGTCCGTTGCCCGCTGTGACACAGGTTACGTTGCTCTGTCCACCGAGTAAATACAGAGCTGGGCTGGGAGTAAAAAAGGAAATAAAATTGACATGTCTCATCGCTGCTCCAGCTGTGAATAGAGGACGTCAGAAAACCAAGCAAGAGAGCGGCTTCAGAACAAGCAGGACATGACAGGAGCAGAAAGGGAAAAGTACAGCGGGTCGTTGCTCAGAAAATGAGTAACTATAACCCGTGTGAGACTTGTTGTGGCCGCACTCAGCTAATGGTTTTCTCTGCGTTTACAGTGTACACAGAGGGTCTGCTCGCAGCAGTACACTTTGAAATGAGCATGAAATGTTCACACAACATGATGTCGAATGATGACTCAAACTGTGGGACTCGCACTCCCACACGTTAACTCATAAGACTCATCTTGCTCATTCCTGCTATATGCTCCCCAACCAGCTGGGTCCCTGGTGGTGTTCAAGCACCACTTAACATAAGTAAGAAACAAATCAATCAGAGGGTCTTAACAGAGGGTCTCTGCGGGCAGGACACAATGAAGCACCCTGCATACCTTTAAAACCTCACCAACAAAACATCAAATCTGCTAGAATGGCTACATGCAACTCAGCCAGATGTTTCCTACGTTTGCATCAGGCTTTTCTGAGCGTGCAGCAAATCAACACTCGAGGAGGAATCTCATTTAAGCTGTTGGTTTCTTTGGCCCGATCTCATTTTCTCAGTGGCACTTGGTCTGTGTAGATAACAGCAGCTGAGCTTTGTGTGACTCAGACGGGAGAGAGGCAGCAGCAGTCAGGTGTGATGACCTTGGAGAGGTCTATATCTCGACAGCCTCACAGCCTGAACAGAGGCTGAAATGGACAGGAGTCGACGCACACCTCCAGTGAATAGAGGCTTGGAGTGGCCACGTTGTTTAATTGCCAAAGCACACACCACCAAGACACACACACCAAATCCATACTCCTTTGTACCTGTGTGGCTGGAGAGAAATACCTTAAAGGACAGGATCAGATCTTTTTCAATCCCTCTTAACCCTCCTGTTGTGTTCATAGATATTGTGTTTTACATTTGATTGGCCTTATGATATCCTCCACAGTAGGCATTTTAACATTACTGATCACCACTTTCATTGTGTTCATCCATCAGATAGTACACACCCACAAATCCAATTCTATTTAATTTTAGAATACGTTTTCAGTGTCTATTCACTGCAGTTATTCATGTGAATGAGTCATCAGAGGTTGTTTACAGCTTAAAAGGGTGTTAAATAAAAACGTGTGATGATTAATGTTTTTTGTGTTAATGTAAGAGGCAGTTAAAACCGCAGTCCGGGAACACAAAGGTAAGGGGGGAGAAACAACACAACAGGTGGGTTAAACAACACTCTTGCATGTACTGAAAGTGTTCCTCCTTCACACATTGGCTGTGAAGACATCCTTACATTATCTCAAAGTTAGTGATGGATTATGAGTTCAGCGAATACGAGGGTTTAGCAGTCACTTAATCAAATCAATCTTGAGACGTAACGGCTTTATTAATGGCTAATTCCCTCTTTAGTTCCCACAGTGCTGAGCTGAAGTGCAGGAACATTTGCAACTAAACATATTGTAACTTTAGAAGATAGCCACTTAGTAAAACAAAGCACACTTTTGTGGCTCATCTTCGCTTTGGCTGAACTTTAAAATAAATATTTGCGCAGAGTGAGGACAGTGATCCCCCCCCCCCCCTATCATTTACGTTGGAAGTGCTTTAGGAGGGTATGTTTTAAAGGGCAATATGGACAAGAGAAACGATTACAGTGTCCAATAATGCTTTTAAGATAAGATAAGATACATGGTATTGTCATCCATCTGTGTACAGTGCTGTACAAATGAAGGACATGGTGTTCCTCCTGGACACAGGTGCAACACAAAGCATGACTGATGCAACACTCAGTGGGAGCAAAGCAAATATTACATTTTGATTGGAAATTGTATTAAACTTACTTTTCTTAAATGCAAATTGTATGACTATGTTGTGAACAAAAGTGAACCTATAGAAAAACAATACTTCCAGAGCTTAAGATAATTCCTAATGTCTTCAATCCAGTAAAAGACTAGAAGAGAATACAAACTGTTGGAGCAACACCACATGTATGATCCTGCAATCAGATGTGCCTCCAACTAATGAAGTGTGGCATATGACCATGAATAAAAGGCCAGTCTGTTCTATTTCTACACGGGGAGTTGGACCAGGTGCTGTGGGGATGCCTGCAGCAGAATCCTGCTATCAATGTCTGACCATATGGGACACATTTAACCCAAACACTACCAGCAGAACCAGTACGCTGCTGCCAACTCATCTCTGAAACTGTCATGATTAATAAACAAAAGCAGCTGGCATTGCTTCTTCATGAAAGGGGGGTTGAGTTTAAAACGTCAAAGTGAAGATTACAAAGGGTTTAAGTCAGTCAGGTCTCCATAGCAACTAGGGACACCAGATAATGATAGAGGAATACATAAAATAAGTGTTATTGTATTTTAAAGGCCTTAGGCTGTGAACAGAATTAAGTATAGATGTAAGAGATTCAGGCAATGTGAGGGTGGATGAATCAACGCCTTGAATAAAGTTCAACCTATAAGTCCTCAGACAGGCTGTGTGTACCTGATTGGAGCTGGATGGAAAGGAGGAGATTGGTGGGACGTCCAGGATCTTTAGCTCATACATGTTCCCGTTGAGGATGACGGAGGGTCTGTACACATATCTGGTCCTGGTCGGCGTGTACACCTCCGAGAAATCGTTATAGATGAACTGGCGGATTATAGAAGTTTTCCCCACTCCGGGAGCACCGATGACTGCGATACTCAGCGTCTCCACCATTCCTGGAGCTCGGGTTCAGCACCATGGACAGCGACGACAACAACCCCAGATGTGACAGTCCAGAAACGCAGCTGGCCGCTGCTGTTTGGGATGCTGCTCCGATGGAATTCAATCCACCTTCTGCTCACCCTTTCCCTTCACCCAGCAGCCTCTGAATCACCTCAGCTGGGTTCAACTGGGTGCAGTTAAACGAAGTGGCGGCTGGATAAAAACACCCACCCTGTCGAGAAAGCGAGAAACTTTATCTCCAGGCTGAGGGAGGAGGGAAAAAAAGACCCTTGCCGCTTGAAGGTTGTCAAAAATAAACCATGAAGATGCAGATGGAGGGGTTTTTCAATGCTTCTGCAATCCAACACAGAAACTCTTGTGGACATCTCCATACGACCTCCTCCCCCGAGAGGAAGCGAAAAAAGTCCGTTCTTGTTGTCCCCGAATGGACATAATATCACCCAGGCTAGACTGTGACCTTGTCCAGACGCACAGGAGCCCTCAGTGTCTTCATTGATTATCTCCTCTGCACCTCTTACTCATTTCCTCCGATGCAGCACCGCCGCGCTCCTCCATCACACAGCCGCCAGCCTTTTAAATAAGCTTCCCAATCCCACGTGCTCTGAAATTGCACACAAACCCCATAATCTTCTTGTTTTGTCGATGACAGAAAGATAGATTCACATCTGCGTGATTCAAAAGACAAGATGCAGTCCACACAGCCTGCAGACGTGCGTTTTCTGTAAAGGCATCTGGAGATATAGCGAGCACTGTGTGTGTGTGTGTGTGTGTGTGTGTGTGGTGTGTGTGTGTGTGTGTGTGTGTGTGTGTGTGTGTGTGTGTGTGTGTGTGTGTGTGTGTGTGTGTGTGTGTGTGTGTGTGTGTGTGTGTGTGTCTGCTCTCGGAGAGACATGCGCTGGGGAAGACTGCTCTATCTTTCTCTCCCCCTCTCGTCACTCACTATATCCCTGCACCGCTCATCCAATAGGATTATGTCGTGCGCAAGGCGTGTGAGAGCCTTGAGCTCCAATACGCCAACAAATAAATGGCACAGGAAAAGGCCAAACTCCATACATCATGTGAGGGTCATGCAGGAGCGGCGTGAGACTGGACATCATTTCTCTGAGGCGCTCGACTTATTATTGGACAGGATCTTTGGGCAGGCCAGGGTCGGTGTGTCCCATCAATCACTGCGGGGTGACAGCGAGCACATCACGGGCGCAAATCACAATAGCACGTCGGGGGAATAAACATTACGCAGTTTATTATGGGCTCAGAACAGTCTCATAATACACACATGCACACAGAAGGATTCACACTTGTACTTCATGATCCGCAAAAGGATTCAAACTTGTATTTCCGGATCCACACTTGTGTTTTTCAATGCACACACAAATGTGTTCCGTTTCATATACATGTAAATAAAATAAAATTACAGAAAAAGGTTTTACATGTGTATTTTTGATCCTCACATATTTGTTTTCCGTTTAAAACCTCTGCACCTGCAAACACAAACCGCTTTCTGTGCACGGATCGCTGTGCATTCGTGTGTGGGTTTTTGAGACTCCCCTGACGGTCAGCCGATTCGTACTTGTAATTGTTTCTATCTATAGCCAATCAGATGTCTCCTCCATTCTAAGCCAATCACATGAGCGCGCCCCCACGAGGGTATGATTTCTTGCGTTCATGACGTAGCTCTTCATGTACGCATTTTGCGCAGTCCGGTCAGCTCGCTAAACAGAGGGCGGAGCATCAGGTGATTATGCAGAGCTGCGTGTCTCTGTGTCAGACTCAGCAGCTGATCTGATCTCTCTATCGCGTCCGGTTATACTTCACTCGCGTTTGTTACCTTTTCGGTATCTCGTCACCGAAACCGTAGTTTCGGTTACACACCGGTGGTTTCTGACTTGGCTCGTTGTCAGCCGGTAACCAGCTGCCCAGACATTTCGAGGGGAAAAGGGATGCAAACGGGGCGTTCGTGTGCCGTGGGAAGAACCTCTGTTTATTCACGTTCTTCTGACTAATCAGTTACATTGACACTGTATTGCATAGGCCTACATACAGACTAGTTACTTTTCCCGTTCTGACCACTTTCTCTATACTTTAGTCTCTCTCTTCATAACTCCGCACTTCGCCTTCACCACACGCCTTCACCACTCTCCACACACACACACACACACACACACAACACTTTTTTCTGTATTTGGATTGTATTTACATGTATATGAAACGGAACACATTTGTGTGTGCATTGAAAAACACAAGTTTGAATCCTTCTGTGTGCATAGTTTATGGGCCCTGAGAATTATCGGGAGATGAGCTTGTAACCTCTGCTGATGGTTTTTGAATGCAGCACTTCATTAAAACACCGTTTATTGGGAGGCGGTAGTCCAGTTTGGTGCTTATCAAGGCTGGATATTCAATAAGGCAGGTATAGGCATTTGCCCTGCAGGGGCCCCAAAGCCTACAGACTCATTATGCCTCTATAAGGACCTTAAAGCCCTCCCCCATTAAAGGCGTGTTTTTCTACTTGTTCCTTCTTGCGGGTGTTTTAGCTTCACTGTGCAGAGTAATGCATGTGCAGATCTGGAAAGGTGAATTTCAAATGAACCAATTGGAACATTTAAGTTTCTCTGTGCTCATAACATTTTTAGATTTTGAGGAAAAGGCCTAAACATAACATTGTTTGAATGAAACCATGTCCGTGGGCAAAACAAAAATTGTTACGGCTTCATTATTTCCAATGATATTATACATATTTTTGACTAAATTAAGACACAAATCAGACACAATGGCAGGTATTTATAGACCTGGTGTTGATTGTTTCGGTTTAAATGTAATGTCCTTGAATACCTTTTTGCTATAATGAATCAAGTCTAAAGGGGTAAGAAAAATGTAAACAGATTTTTGACCTGATTGAGTGATTGTAATCCTCTTCAATGGACTCTATTAAGTGAATTAAAGATCTGTCAAACAGAGATCAAGAGCCCTGTTGCAGGATAAACACCAGCCAAACGTTTTACAAAATCAACAAGATTAGCAAATGACTCATCGACTATTAATACAGCCATTTGGTAAATGTATAAACCCTTTGCAAAGGCTGCCTTAAAACTCGAGGGCCAAAAATGAAAAATGTTTAAAAAGCAGTCTCAAGAAGGCCTGTTTGCATTAGCGCTGCATGGAAAACAACAAGTGTCACCGTAAGAACATGTCATTGTTTTTTACGTTATGTTTTAAGTGCCTTGCTGCAGGATCAAAACACACCTTTAAAACGTATTAATCAAATCATTGAATATAAAACTGAGTTGTAATTCTGCTGTTTATTGAATAGCCTACTTTTACTGTTGATTCCTATAGGGTTAGTATTGGGGGTAGGGTTATATATATTCATTCCTGTTCTAACCCTATCCTATAGATTTGACTCCTTTTACACTAAATAATAAAAACCAAAGTATTTAGCAGTTGTGTTGTAAAGAAATACAAAACAATTAGGAAAATATAATCATATCACTTTCTGGGTATTAACTTTTATGAGTATTTAAGTCAATCTTTCTTTATAATAAGGTCTGAGCCTCCTTTCGAATTTCATTGCAGTGTCGCCCCCTGTTGGAAAGCATTAGTCACATGGGGGCAATATTATAGATCATTATTCACTTGTAGAAGAGTGTGTTGGAAGCAGCGCTGACTGCTCTCTGGGCGGTGAGGGTGCATCTTTCAAACCGAGCTGACCTTTATTATCCACAGAGGAACAGATCGGAGACGGGAGCTTTGTGTTCAGAGCAGGCGATGCCGTTGAACTCCTGGTTAAGCTTTCTCAAGTATTTCGGACATTAAAACCTCATCACCCCTTCGGAGGAGCTGCTCCACCTTAAGGTGCGGCAGGCTGTGGATACACATCAGACTTACCTTAGAGCTGAAGGTTGAACAACAGAGATTTGTATGCAAAGCTGTGAGGGCTGCAGGTCTGTCAGAGTAGACGTGAGCGACTCCAAAGGTCATCAGCGAGTCTAAAGTACGGACTGTGAAAACACTTCCCGGGGCTTTGGGGAAGTGATGTTTACCCAGCAAATAAACTGATATAACATTTGGCCTCATGTGACACTGGGAGTGGTGAGAGACATTTATAATCAATCAGTAGTTATGTTCAAAACAATATCTTACCAATCTCTACATGTTATTTTGTTCAACTTTCTGACATCGCACTGGTTCTGTTTCATCATCTTTGTGAATCGAGATGTTATCAGCTTTATTCCTAGCACTGCATTGTATTCATTCATAATGTCAGACACTAAACTCTTAAGTGAATTTATCAAGGCTTTTAATATTTCTTATGATGTACACACAATGAACAAAATCATGTCAATCAAAAACCTCTGATTATACATTTGATTAGATTTTTTTTTCTTTTTTTACAGCATTTCATAGGAATCAGCCGTCACCACACACACACGTGGCGATCTTTACAAGGCGTTAGCGTGGGCGCACACATCGTGTAGAGTCGATAAAAAGGACCTGGATGTAATGACTCGGATAGAAGGGGGAACAATGAACCGGGTCGAGTCTGCAGGTAGAACAAAGGACACTGGATGTACGCAGTGTACTACCTACACTCACACTTATTACTCACAAGTGTTACAAACCATGGCATCATACGCTTAGAGTTTTCTCACCTGAACCTTCATCTCAGGTGGCCAGAGTACTGAGAGGCTGCGATGAGAGGGCTGAGAGAGCCAAGTGGCAGAGTGTTTGTCTTACACAGGGGGGGGGGGCAGCAAATACAAACACCCTCTCCCAGTTTGCCACATGAACACTAACAAGACTACAAAACACAAATCAAAGCATGGAATGACTAAGTGAGAGAGCAAACAGTGGACGACTGCTGCTAGTCTATCAAATGTCCAGATATTGATGGGAGAAATTAAAGAAAAGCCCACCGATGAACAGCGTCCATGCACACTGCGCATATTCTGCTCTCAGAGACAGCAGAGGATCCAAACCCACTGCTAAACACTAAAAACCGACAAAAGATTGACAAAGACAACAAAACAGTAATGTTTGGAAGTATCTATGAGTCTCTTCTAAGGGCCAGACAGCCACTTCACACAGAGGCAGGAGTAACGAGTTAAAGCCTTTTTACTGCGGCAATTTCATTCTTAAATAAATATGCCGACAGAGATATTTCAACGGGTGATCGCAGACGCTATAAATAGTCTCCAATTTGCAGAAAAGTGGGGCTAGATAATTATTTATGCACAGAAAACTCTCACAGGAATGCAGCCCCAAAAGAAGACAGTCATCACTGAGTGGAGGACCAGCTTGAAGTGAAAGAAAATGTATCGTGAGGAAATGTCCTGAAACTATTTTATGGCAAACACACTGGAGAGGGACATGATGAGTCCAGCCAGACAGAGAAGAAGGGGTTTTCCTGCAGGCTGAGGAAAGAAAAACAAGCGGTGACGGGTGGAACCGGGACAAAGAAAAATGATTATCCAGAAGAATTTGCCAACACAGCAGGAAGTGGCTCCTGCACTGCAAGAGGTTGTGACATGGTCAGCTGTGGGCGGGGGGGGGGGGGGGGCTTCAATTCTTCAGCACTGTCTCGTAGTTCTGGAAAACACACTGAGAAACCTCCGGAGCTCTGCACTTCAGAGAGATCTGTGAAGAGAAGAGATCAGAATGAGTTTCCTGTTAAAAAAAACAAGGTTTCTAAAGACGACACACAACAGATAACCGTTTCCTGTGAGAAATACAGTTCACGAGTCACCATCAGCAACAAGTCACATGAACCTTTAAGATAAGATTGATCAAAATTGGGGAGATGTTCTCGCTACAGCAGCATGGTAAATCTGAAGATTATATATGAAGGGACGAATTACAGCTAACAAACTACACCTAATAAGGTCATATATTGACATTTCTGATATATGTTGATGTGGAAACTTAGTAGTTGTTTTACTGACTGACGTATTACAAAACTAGGAGGACTATTAATCTAGTTAGTGTAAGCATGTAGTCATTTGATAGCCTGCTGAACTGTAACCCTTATGTGTGGTCTAAGTATTTAATCAAAATAGCCAACTTGCAAGAAAAATAAAACACTGTTCTTTGGAGTTTCCTGATCTTTTAGGTGGAATAAAAAAAGATGGCAATTCTGGCGCTTCCAGTCATAAGCATTGTTCATATTTATTTATAGGTATAAAAAAGGATAATAAGCAGAAGTGTCCTTGTCATTTTCACAGGAGACACATTTAATTATATTTCAGAAGGGATTTTTATGGATTGCAACTCTCCTTAATTTGGTCACTCAGACACAGAAATATAGAGCCAGACACAGTGGAGGAAACAAAGGCAGCCCCTCCACTCTTTGATGTGAGTCTCAGCTGGGAGTAGGTTGAGGCTCACAGAGTGTTTCCCCATCAGCAGACACACTGCAGAGACAGGGTTTACTCAGACCGAGGAACACCAGACAGCTGGCGCTTTGGAATAATGAAGGATCAATATTACATTCATTAATAAGTAGTTTGGAAGATTGCAAATTGCTTCACTAATGAATTGCAGCAGCTGTGCCTTCTGGTGTGAAGCCTCACTAACCCACATGTCTGATGTGGGGAAGAGGAAGAAAACTAGCAGCATTTGTCTTGCTTTGACACAAACACACACAGACGCAGGGAGCGAATCAGCTTCTTCCTCAGTGCGGTTCTTTCAGCTTTCATCACTGTCATGTCCGAGAATCACATCTGTTCCAGTGGAAAATATTTTATGGATAGTACAGAACCTCGACAACTGGTTTTGAGTGACGACTACAAACATCGCAGACAGAGAAGAAGTCAATCCAAGGACTTTGTATTTCAGCTTGAGTGATAAAACAGTGGTTTTAGGCACTGAACGTCCTTCATAAAGACGGGAGAGCTGACGGGGAGAGAGAGACGAGGAATAAAACACAACGAAAGGCTTCCAGCTGGACTCAAACCAGAGGTTGATCAACACCAGGACACCTCCTAATTCCAGTTCATTACATTATATAACATGCATGTCACTTTGGTGAAGCTCTTATCCAAAGAAACTTAGATACACTTCAATACCGTAGACTTGCCTATAGGAGCGATATGTGTTTTGCAAAAAGGACACTTTGACTGCAGAGTTTTTACCCCTAGTAATATGATCAGTAAACCCTCCTCAGCACTACCTCATGACCACTTGAGCCATTACATTCGACTTGTTTCTTCCTGTTTTTCTTATAAAATGGGATCTAATACAACATTGTTCAGTGTCTACAGTGATCAATTATTAACCAGACATTTGGTGAGTAATCTCAACGGAAACAAATATCAAAACAAGGTGATACTGTGTGTTGTACCACAGAGCAGCAGAAATACTGCATGGCTCCTAAAGTGTTGCCTCTGCACACTCGGGGATCTTTACGAATACATGCTGCTACTGGCAACATTCAGGCAGCCGCTCTCCTGTCAGCATGGGGTAAGATGTGAGGAAATGCGGAGGCTCTTCTGAGTAGAACCTGCTATTAAGAGAGCGAGAGACTGCAGCATTCTCACGGCTTGATGCTACAATAGTATTGGTTTTATATTAGAGGTACAGATGCAAGGTAAACAGACACAATGAGGAACACAGAGCCACAGTAATCATAAGGACATTAATGTATGGATTAAGATGTTCTTATAATCATGATCACAAAACAATGAACTCTTTGTATAAAAAGTCTTTGTTTCTAATACTTTCATACAAAAATGGCTGTATTCTTTCCACCCAAAAGTCTCCAGTGAGAGACGGAGACACGCTGATCATGTCAATGAACCTGAAAACACAGCAGAGGTCTTAAGGCCCCGGACACACCAATCTGACAACAAATAACTGACACAGACGGACCCCGACTGTTGCGCCGCCTCGCGTCTCTGCGTCTTGGCCATGTGTCGCACTGGAACACACCGCAAAGACTTCAGCCGATGGCCAAGAAGCACGTACGAACTGCGCATGCGTGAGTGGCAATAACTCTCCTTACCAGCAGGTGGCGGTAGTGTGTATTCGTCATTCAAAAGAGGCAACAACCGGAAGACAGACTGCGTGATATTAACAAACATCAAATAGCGTGTGCGTTCCATTTTCCCTCTACAACGAGAAGCTCACGGGGCTTTCCCGAACCCGTGTCGAGAGCTGGAGTTAAATTAAATCTCAGATTTGCCTTCTTAATAGTTTGTTTGGGTCCCTCTCTTCCGTTTCGCTTCTCATGCACTGATTCGCTAGCTGAACAGCCAATCGGAGTGATTTCTTTTGCCGACTGCCCGCCGATTCAACATGCAAGCAAACATGTTGAATCGCCGGGGTTTCGGCCGAAAAGGCGTCGGCACGGCTGAAAAGACCCGACTGTGCAGACACACCAATCTGAGTAGGGAGTGTCGATGCTCATCGTCGGCCTGACGCCCACCAACGCCGATAATCGGCCCGGTGTGTCCGTGCCTTTAGTAAAACCGTCATAAAGAGGAGCAGAGCGGCATGATGCAGCCGTGTAGCGATGAGAAGGGGCAAAGATACATCTTCTTACATTTCTTGAACACACCCTTGATAACTCAGAGGCTGTGTGCTCCTCCGTGGCGATGACTGCTTGCGTTAAAAAAATAAAATAAACGGGATTTAGAAAATGTCACTGTTCAACTCCTTATGAAGTGGTGAGGTGCCGCTCCACATTGCTTTTCTTCCTGACTGCAACGCTGTTGTGTGTGTGAGAGCGTTTCAAATGTGTGTATGAGAGATTTTTACATATGTCTGTAAATTATTTTGGTTTCAGTTGTGTGTGTGTGTGAGCAGGCTCGGATTGGCCATCGGGAGATTTGGGACTTTTCCCGGTGGGCTGCTGCCATCGGTGGGCTGCTGGCTCTGGCATAGGTGGGACGTGGACTTTCACAGCGCCAGCACCGCATCCGCCGCCGCAAACACCCGGCAGCTCCGGTGCTGTGAAAGTCCACCGCCGTTGCGAGTCTCCGGCTGTAACAGTCCACTACCGCCCGCAAGGACCCAGGTTCGATTCTGGCCTTAGGTCCAAAAAATGTATTTTAAAAAAAATAAATAAATAAAAAATATCTACCGTTCTTCGGCGTCCGTATGCGTCCACCACTAATTTGAGATTCATTCAGTTAACAAAATTCCTGGTTAGCCGGCCTGTTTGTGCCTACATTTGTGCTTTGCATTTCCCCCACACTTTGAGAAACGCTGGGTTATAGTGTCAATTAACACGGCTGTTAATGCATTTAATAAAACCCAGCCAGAATCAATATGAAGTTATACTACTGACGGTATTAGCTAAAGCCAATCATGCTTTGAGATATTGGAACATTACGGGTAAACAGCAAAATAAAACGTGCACTATTTTTTATGAATTATACTTGTTTTGATGTCTTGTCTTGAGAAGCCCAATAAAACCCAGAATAAAAAAACGCAGAGGCAGAGCTTTACTTCTTCAGGTCTAAAAATAGCTGCCGCCGAAAGGCTTTGGCAGCTTGGCTTTAATGTGCCGTGCCAACAGAGAGGCAGCAGCGAACACACACTGTACATGCATCGCCATTTACATAAACTATTTATGATCCACCTACAAAAAGTAGAGGAGCATTACCAGCCCAGAGTATAAACTATTTTAATAAAAACATTACCAAGAAGTGAAAGACAAAAGGAGCACAGGACAGGAACAGCAGAAGATGAAAACAGACACAGGGGAAATGAAAAGCAACAAATTATCAAAATGAAAAAGGCACACTGCCTCCAGCTGAACAATTTTCAACAAATAATCATTAAAAAAGGGAAAATCTTACACTTAAAAAGGTCCCCCATTATACTGTTTTACATCAATATATGATATAGGTCTCAGAGATATACAAAACATGTCTCTGAAGTGTTTGGCTCCAAACACCAAACAGATCATTGTAGCATCCCATAATCCCCTCTGTTTCAGCCCCTGTTTCCAAAGTGCTGATTCTCTGTCTGTTACTTTAGATGAAAACAAGGAGCCCCTCCCCACGCCCCTCTGAGAGAGATTTGGTTAGAAAGAACTCAATGGTGCTCTAGGAGGAGATTCAGGTGATAAGGTGATCTCATAACAAATCGTTATGAGATCATAAAGTGCCAAAATCTGATCGGCTCATTTTCAGACAGGTTTTTATAGAAATGGATCAGGACAAAAAGTGAGAGAATCTTTTTTCCTGAAACTTTCAGAATCTCTTTACACAGAGGGGACACATGTTTATGTACATCCATCCATCTTCTCCCGCTTATCCGTGGTCGAGTCGCGGAGGTAGCAGTTCCAGCAGAGAGCCCCAAACGTTCCTCTCCCTGGCGACATCAACCAGCTCTGACTGGGGGATCCCAAGGCGCTCCCAGGCCAGCGAAGAGATATAATCCCTCCACCTGGTCCTAGGTCTACCCCTTGGTCTCTTCCCAGCTGGACGTGCCTGGAACACCTCCCTAGGGAGGCGCCCAGGTGGCATCCTAACTAGGTGCCCGAACCACCTCAACTGGCTCCTTTCGACGCGAAGGAGGAGCGGCTCAACTCCGAGTCCCTCCCGGATGACCGAACTTCTCACCTTATCCCTAAGGGAGACGCCAGCCACCCTGCGGAGAAAACCCATCTCGGCCGCTTGTATCCGCGATCTCGTTCTTTCGGTCATGACCCATCCTTCATGACCATAGGTGAGGGTAGGAACGAAAATGGCCCGGTAGACAGAGAACTTTGCCTTCTGGCTCAGCTCCCTTTGTCACAACGGTGCAGTAAAGCGACTGTAGTAAAGCGACTGTAGTAAAGCGACTGTCGTACTGCTCCGATTCTCCGGCCCATCTCACGCTCCATTGTTCCCTCACTCGAGAACAAGACCCCCAGATACTTGAACTCCTTCACTTGGGGTAAGGACTCATTCCCCACTTGGAGTGGGCATTCCATCGGTTTCAGTTTCCAGCCGATCCAGTGAGTGCTGAAGGTTGCAGACCGATGAAGCCATTAGAACCACATCATCTGCAAAAAGTAGTGGTGCAATCCTTAGTCCACCGAACTGCAGACACTCTCCCCCACGACTCAAAATCCTAGCCATGAATATTACAAACAGGATTGATGACAAAGCGCAGCCCTGGTGGAGGCCAACCCTCACCGGAAATGGGTCCGACTTACTGCCGAGGACAGCTCTTGCTTTGGGAGTACAGAGATTGGATAGCCCTGAGTAGAGAACCCCTCACCCCATACTCCTGCAGCACCTCCCACAGTGACTCCCTGGGAACCCGGTTATACGCGAACAAGTCTTTGGAAGAGAAGATAAAGGCTGCAAGATTTTTTTCTATAATGTCTGACTCTTCTGTTGACCGATCAGTGCAGGACCAGGAGATCATTTATGTCACCTATATTGAAAATGGTCTACCTGTCAACGTCATGTTGACTATGGTGACATTGCAGCATGCTAACAGCCAGGGCATCCTAGACGCCATAATGTCTGGACTTCACCAAGCTGGGCTCTCAGAAGATGGCCTAAAGGCAAAGTTGGTTGGGTTCGGATGTGATGGGGCCTCTGTGATGATCGGGCATAGAAATGGAGTGTCTGCCAGGCTGAAAGAGATGTTTGGATCGCTGGTGACCATCTGGTGTGTGGCTCATCGTCTTGAGCTGACCGCATTAGACAGCATGAAATCTTTTCCAGCTCTCACAGAACTGAAGAAAAGTATCAACGGAATCTACAAACACTACCATACATCAGCCAAAGCTAGCCGTGAGCTCAAGACTGTGGCAGAAGCCCTCAACATACATCTGGTCAAACCAGGGACTATCGATGGTACACGGTGGCTTCCGCACACACTCCATGGTTTGTCAGCCCTTATCAGGAACTACCAAGCCATCCTTTTCCATTTGGAGAGCCACGCAAGTGACATGCATGATAGAGAAGCAAGTGACCTCATGAAGGGGCGGGCCAGCCACACTGTGAAAGGACTTAAGCAATTCAAGAGTCATTTTTGTTCATCTTCTTCTTGACATTCTCAGTGAGCTGAAAGACCTAAGCCTTCTCTTTCAGAGGGATGGGCTGACATTACAGATGGTGTCAGATGGACTGCAGAAGACGACCCTGGCTCTTGTAGCCATGAAGGTAAACAAAATTAATAGTTGATAAATAAACTCCCTAGAGAGAATTGTGTATGCTACAGTGTATGTTTAGTGATTGTGACGGTGAAATACTTTTTTCTTTTATCGTGTATTTCAGACAGTCCCAGGCCAGCATCTGAAGCAGTTCCTGGATGAAGTGGGGCCCTTTCCTGGAAACATGTGCTCTGGTGTACAGCTCGACAGGAAACAAGTGGAAGGTGATCTTTAAGTAAATGTATATTATTCTTTATAACTAATTAATACTCCTCAAGTCGTATATTCAAAAGGCTCTTATGTTAGGCGAAACTATGGCGATGAATCCTGAAGATTTAATGAACGGGAACAGGGTGACTTACAGATTGACTGGTCTAGACCGGTGAGAACAAAAAGACAGTTAACGCCACCTTATGAATAAAAACATGAAGTGGGAGCAGACTGAGTGATGAGCTGGGAGGGGGGGCTGTAACCCAATGTCATCCTTCTGGACCAGTTGTGCACTATTTTGAAGGCAAACACATCCATCAAGAGTGGAGAATGTGGCACGCTGACAAAGCAAAACAATGGAGAAAACACACACACACACCCTCCCTCCCCCTATGAGTCATTACTGCACATCAATCCCTGTCACGTCTCTGCAGTGTCATTTTCTCTCTGACCTGACGTGCAGTGATGACAGTATTTTGTTTACTCCATCATAATGACATAATTCAACACGTCAGACTGAAGTTCTGTGCAGAAGTTCACAATAGAAGCGGGAACTTTCCGACACTGTATGTATGATCTGGTTCTGTTCAGTAACTCCTTTGATTTATTACGGGATAGATCTCTGTTGTTTTCAGTTGTTATGGTTGCCGTGACTCCAGAAGTAGCTAAGGCTCCAGATATCAAAGTTTGGGTAAGTGCTATGTTAGAGATAGCATCAGGCTGTGCACAGTGGATTAGAAAGGTACTGCCGGAATAGATTTCAAGCATAGATAAGAACCTCTTTTGAGTAAAACGTATTTCAATTTAATTAACTATTTTTTGGATTATAATTGTGTCTCCTGTAACACTGAAATGATATAAAATTATGGTAGAGATTTAGTTAATGCTGTGTTAAAATGAACAAGCTACAAAACCTATTTCAAAACAAGACAATAACAAACAAAAGTATGGTTTGTAGAGTGCATAAAATCAGCCTAAGAAAAACATATTTATTTAAGTAGTAAAAAAAAAAAGTAGAACACAATTTTAACTGCAAACAGAGTCAGTTGCTTCTACTCTTTCCAATCTCCCTAGTTCCAGTCAGCTTTTAGGACTTTTTATGATGATAAATGTACAATCAAATTGTACTTATATAGCCCAGCATCATGAATTAAAAATATGTCTTTACAATCTGTTAGGCAAACAACATTTTCGGTAAAAAACTAAAGAATGCCAACAGAGAGCAACATATCAGTCCTGAGCAATATGGGCATTTTACAGGTGAAAACAAAGTTCTAGTTGAACAAATTCAACTCCCCTTTAATATTGAAATGTATGACAGTATGAAGGTAAAACCAACTGTAGGACCCTTAATCAAACCAGCTACCTCTGTTGGTCATAAACCCAACAGCACAGCAGTGATTGACTGGAACTCATGCATTCAGCTAACACTGGAGTACTCACTGTGTAGTTTGGGTTTCCAGCCTGCACCCTCAGCTCAGCCAGCACCCAGATGCCGTTGGTGAGCTTCATCGACTGATACAGCATGTCCTGACCCTCCACGGTACGCTTAGCTATGGTGAAGATGTTGCTACCTTGCAGTTTGTTGGAGGCTGCATCTGTTGTAGGAACATAATATTCAAACATTAAGAAAAGTCAAATTGTTAAATGTTTCCCTGCAGTTACACTTTCCATTTTTAGTATTAGATCATTAAATGTTCCAGAGAATTAAGGGTTTATTTGTCATCCATTGAAACATCACTCCAGACAAAGACTTAGTCTAAGAAAGTCATTCAGAACTAAGTTTCCTCCTCAGCCTCCGTCTTGCCGCTGCTTCCCAGAAGGATGTTAAAGTCTCTCTCTTTGTTCATGAAAAATAAATGTAATCTGTGAGGGGAAATCTCCATTAAGCTGTCATTAGGAATTCTCCTCCAGTTCAGCTGTTCTCACGCTTGTCTGAATGATCACACGTAAATAGGGGACTGCAGCTGATGAGTTCTCATTAAGCGTGTATCTGAATGTGCCCCTGCTCCTCACATTCAGCAGCAGGATATGGCTGCACTGTGTAGTGAATTCAGGAGTAACTCTGTTCCCTTTCCTCCCGTCTCACCTGAGTTGAGATGGCAGTCTTTGATCTGAAACTGGGACTCGTTCTCATTAGGAATGTCTTTCCATGTGGCGAGGAACACCTGTCGCTCTGCGGACAAGAGACACAATCACTGTAAGACAGACTGAAACGCACACAGTATCAAAATCAAAACTGTTTGATGCTCTGTATTGTATTGCTGTCTATTTATAATGTTTAAACCCGATATTTATGCACAGTTGCAGATAAAGATTAGGATACACTTATATTATCGTTTCATTTGTAGGATTAGTTTCCAGTGGTGGTGCACAGGACTGTTTCTGAGTTGTGTAATACAAACATTTCCACAAAGTCAAGAGGGTTGTTAAATCCAAAAGTCAAAATGTACTGAATAACGACAGATGTTATCATTTCCATCATTCATAGCATGATTTTATCCAACACAATATTCCACTTCAATCCATATTTGTTGGCCTTAATCTTTCCAAAACAACATGTTTACTCCTGCAATAATGCTGAAGTCAAGCAGAAATATAGAATTACGTTTATATAACAACACTAATCCGATTAATCTCTCCATCCAAATAGACGATTGTTTTAGTTTGTTTTTAAAGGTGAAGAAGCTTCTAATGTAAATTTGTCAAAGCCCTACAAAATTGTTTGATTCCACATTAAACAAAAAGGTTCCCAGCTGCGCTTTTGAGGCTCCACCGGGAGGGCATCGTGTTTCAACAGATTCAATCAAAAAAACATCAAAAAGGAAATGTTGGCACGGGTAAACAATGTAGGAGCGACGGTGCAGCACACAAGGTGAGCGAGTGCAGGCACACACGCGCACCTACGTCACACGCTGCTACACATCGTCAGCACAGCCTCAACAATAAGGCTGATGATGCGTGTGTTGGTGACGTCAGCGGGTTTGAGTGAAGAGGTTTATCAGGGACACACTCACCCATCTTCCCGTCCTCCAGGAACAGCATGCTGATGGGGTACTGGCAGCTGAAGTAGAATACGTCAATGTTGTTCTTCACAGCCACCTGCGAGAGTGATTACATCCGAGGGGGGGGGGGCGACAGGAGGAGAAACAAGAAGCAGAACACGGGTAATTACTTTACAAGTGCCCTTCAAGGATTGGCATGGCTGGGGTCTGCGTGCTGTTTACTGAACAAGAGGGCAACCATCCTCTGGGTGTAACTCTCTCTCACAGACAGGCAATCCTGTATCCTCAATGTTCTTAACCTCCCTCCTGTCATATTGTGTCAGTCTTTATATGCCATTAATATCAACTTAACTTACAAGCTAGATATATAAAGATAACAACTTCCACAAAAAGCCTTTAGGATACGGTTATTTTTATCGGATATGAATAAAAATAGACGAGATAAGAATAGCAGACAGTGATTACAAATAAAATACTAAAAATAAAAAAGGACATAACTGATAAGATAGCACATAACAGAAGTCTATATCTAAAAAAAGAAAGCAAGTCATCAGCTCCTCAGAGAGGAACCGTAACAGGCTCTGGTGGCAGAAGAACAAGACACTGAAACACGAGAACAACTGGGGTCTGGTGTGATATCGATCGGCTGCTCAACGGACAAGTGCTGAAAGAAGGACACAGAGCTCAGCCAGAGGAGAGCGAAATAATGACTTGATGAATCATTTATTAGAGCGTCTTGTTCCTGGGTGCAATGCAGGACTGCCAGTAAACGGCAAATGATACACAAACGATATAAAAGCTTCTCTGTGTGTTTGTAAACTACAAGAGCTCTGCTATGAAAAGTATAATTATGAGGAGGTTAGCTGACATACTTTATAAGATGAATTAGTGTGGCACCTAACGCAGGAAAAAGACATACATTATAAAGACACAGCTGTAACAATGTCTTCTAGTTTCTACTGCAAGAGGTGATCTGTCTGATTTAGCCCCGCAAGTGACAGTGGTGGATTTATTGATCAATTACATAGTACGTTTTACTACCACACCTCAGCAGGCCAACACAAGCTAGGGATGTTGTGAGACTAATCCTTCCGTACCAAGATAATGTCAAAATTCAGAAAATGTGACAGCACGTGTTTTTCTATAGTAGCTGCAAGATCACAGATATTTTTTTTTAGCTAGTGTCCTTTAAGAAAACATTATGGGAGCAAAAAAACTGGGAACTTATTATCAATTCATCCTATGCGACAATTTCTTCCCCTGTTACAATATAAACAACCAAGATTGTTGACATTAGCAGGAGTAAAGCTAGTTAGCATTAGCTGAGAGCTGCAGCTAACAGGTGCTATTGACTTTTGTGGTGTGATCAACACTTTCAGGAAACAAATGTTATAATGGCATTAGGCAAAGGCAAATTATTATGTTATCATGACGTGTTCAAATGACATTTTATAAAATGTGGTTTTTGAGAGAAACTTGAATAAATAAAGTGGTTTGATGTCAATAGATATTGATATTCAAAAAAAAGGGAATTGTGCACCGTTTCACTTCCTTAAAGAAAACAGTACACAAACGTGAAAAAGGAGTCCATGTTGAATCAATATTTAATTTTGAATAGAAAACCGTGGAATTTCACTGGTATTGGTGTCGACAACAACATTTCTGGTCTGTTGGAGCAGCCGATAGAAACATCAAAGCCGGCCTGGAGGCAGCAGAAAGGTTAGCAGGGCTCCTGAGGCCGAAGGAAACAAAGGGGCCGTGTGCACTAATGACTGCCCCGCCCCCTCTATCAGCTGCCTCAACACTCTTATCTCCTCTTGCCAGCTGCACACCCCCCACCCCTCCTCAGCTGTACCCAATTAAAAGAAACACCATGATCAAAAACAAGCCATCCTCTGCTGCTACTCTTTATTTACAACTTATAACCGCTCCCGAGTTTGATTCACGTTTTAATTCTGTTTTATTCGCAACAGGGGGATTCCACAGTAAAGCTGAAACAGTGAGGATACATTAGTTATCTCTTCAGACACATGGTCATATCGTCCAAGAAGCGCCTTCATGTCCCAAAGAGGAACAGCCAGGGCCGTGAATATTCCAGCCATGAAGCATTTTGACGTTTTAATTCTGTACTCAGGATAAATAAAAGATAAATGTCTCAAGAAGTTACATTCTGCCTATTTTAAGGTTTTCTGGTTATTTTGGAATTTGACTTTATTATTTTTGTATTAACTTAAAAAACTCTCAACTAAGAATTGACCGATAACGGGCCACTATATAAGCATTTTATATTATAGTAAGTATTGTTGTGTTTTATATGCAATAAAGTAAATTAATTGAACATGTGCTCCTCTGACCTGTAGCCCACAGCACATATGCTTGAATGCATTTAGGTTTGATGATGTGTTATTCCACATGTTCACCCTAAGATTGAAATGTTTTACTGCAAAACTCAACCCTGAAAACATCTAATCGTTGGCAGTTTATCACAAACTGCTTTGGCTGCTTACTCAGTCTTCATTTATGCAGTCACAAAATGTGTGAAGGGTGAATTGGCAAACATTACATAGTGCTTCAAAACTGTAATTGACCCCTGACAATTATGTTACTAACAAAATTCAGTCCCGAGTCATAAATGAAAACGAGAAGAAGCAGGGATGCAACGCTGGCGTTAAAAGAATAGCACAGTCACATACAATCCAGGTGAAATGAATATCCTGAAGGTGTTACCTGCAGGTTGTTGAGCGGCTCCATCTTCATGACGGGCCCCACGGTGCTGAGCGGCAGCGCGGCCTCAATGCTCTGGTTCGGACTGATAGGAGTGAGTATCTGGAGGGGACCAGCCGGAGCCAGACCAAAGCTACAGAGCAGCAGGGAGGGGAAACCAGAGTCACAACAGGTGTATTTATACAGGAATATCAGCACTTTCTTAGTCGGTGATCCTACCTGTTTCTGTTGAACTGGATGGCAAAATCACTCATGACACTCATAGCTTTATTATTGAGTGTCATCTCCATTTGGATGACCCCAGAGCGGCGGACAAAAGTGCCCGATATCTCCAGACCCTTGGCCTTCATGGCTGGCAGCCAAACCTGGACAGAGATCAGTTCACTTATTAGGGAACCCAACATTCATGTATTATTGTAATATACGATACGATAATACTTTATTGGTCAGATCAAGTCTGAAATTTGACTTGCATCACAGAAGCTCCATGTGTAACAACATAGACCAGTGGTTCTCAAATGGGGGTACGCGGACCCCTAGGGGTACGTTGGAGTACTGCAGGGGGTACGTGAGATTTATTTTATGTTAATGAAAAAAACAACATAAGTAATGCATTTAAACAAACTACTAATAGTAGATTAACTACTTTATTCAAAGGTTTACAGAAACTCTGGATAATAACATGGGAACAATAAACGGTGTGCTCTCTTTTCCTTTCCTGACAGCCCGTCAGTCTCGTGCAACTCGCTGAACCTGTAATAATAAGTGAACCGACAGTAAAGAATAAATATATTTATAGCTAGTTTATCTAGTTCCAGAGTAGATAAACTCGCTAAGTGTGTTAGGTCTAACTCTTAGTGTATTTACTTTGCTCCACTCAACGGTCCGTCACAGCGGCGGAGCTGTGATCATACAGAGCTGCGTGTTCTCCGTCAGCAGCAGCTGATCTGATCTCTGATCTCTCTCTCGCGTCCGGTTAGACTTCACTCGCGTCTATGTCCAAATATCAGATCTAGCTAGTTCTAGTTGCTGCCTGCTTATCAAAGGACACCTAAACAATAAGCGTTGCTTGGCAACGGCTGCAAAGTATAGTGCAGCATTATGCATTTGTTTTTATGAGGGGTCAAAATCCCATGCTCATAAAATGCTCATATATTTTTTTCTCTTCATTCCCCACGCCCCAAAATAAATAAATATATTTTAGGAAAAGTAATGAAGTTTGAGCAGTGTGGGTTTTGTATTAACAGAGTTACACATATTTCAAAACGCGAAGTGTAATAACTGCAGTTGCCTCCCTGTCATCGAGAATAACAAAGATCCTCAGTGAAGCACGAGCCCATGTTTCACTACATTGTAAGTACAACTTATTAAAAAGATCAGTTCAATGCAACTAATGTCGTCTTAGTGTTATTGCATGATGTTAAAATTGGTTTGCCATTAATTTAGTGATGGATTGTAAAAAAAATTAAATGTAGCTTTTAAGTGTTTCTCAGTTACAATGTTGTTGTTTTAATAAATCAGACACTGATGGTGCAGCGCTGTACCTCTTTATATAGGCATGTTTTCCTTAACAAATAGTTGTTGCGCTGATCAGGGGGTACTTGCCTGAATCTTTTTTTCAAAGGGGGTACATTATTGAAAAAAGTTTGAGAACCACTGACATAGACAAATGTCAAGACACAATACATGAAAAGCAAACAAACATTTAACATAACATCACAATCACTGAGAGACATTTTTTTCAAAGAGCCTTCAGCGTGCATTTGATCTGGGATTCAGCTCTGTGTTTACTGTGAGGATTGACTGATGCACAAAGGATGCTTCAGTCTGACTTTATTGAATCGCGGGACCCTGTATCTCCCATCAGATGGTAGCAGTTCATATTCGCTGTTCAGAACATGGTTTGGGTCAGAGATGATGTTGGAGGTTGGAGCTTATCAAGACTCACCGTTTTAGGGGGGATGTAGGTTCCCATCGTCATACCACCACCTCCGAGATCAAACAGGTCGTCCAGACCGCCGCTGATGGGGGCGTTGAAGGAAGCTGGCATTGCAGCCGGAGGAGCTCCGAAACCAGCGCCCATCTGTGGGCCGCAAAGCAACACGTTACTCTCACACATTCAGTACTGAGAAATCTAAATCAACAACAACTCAGACAACATGACTTACAGCAGGACTTCCTCCAATGTCTCCACCAAGCTTTGTGGGAAGGGAAGAAGCACAAAAAGATTCAGGTTATTTATTGGTACGACATTAAATCATATCCTGGAGGATGGTTGAATGGGGGTGAGGGTCTACGAGATTTATTTGTACGACTAATGGTGGCTATGAGGATTCACTGTTTACAGGAGACAGCCAGAGGAAGTAGATCGAGGGAGAAGAGGATTTTCTTTTTATGTAACTGACCTTTTGCTGCCTGTACAAGTCAGGATGAGTGGTCTTTAGGTCAAATACCTTTTGTTCAAATGTTACTCACTAAAGGTTTCTATTGACTGATGACAAGGTTGGGGGTACATTGAACAAGTGGTGCAATATAGTGACTCCACACACGCGTAACTACTGTGCATGGAGGACAATATTTTGCAGCAAAAACAAAAAAGGTAAGATTTACTCAAATCTCACCCTGAATGGAGTGGGAAAGAAACCATCTAACACTACATTTACACAGGTACGGATCACTTCTGGAGAGAGGGGGGCGGGGGCTACTCAGAGAACACAGTGGTTCAACAGGGGATACGAGGGGTTATACTGTAGGCTGTTGCATTTACTGATCCAGTGTGGTCTCCAGGAGCAACCTCAGTGGGGCTGTAATCTGGGGGCGATGGGGACTGATGCGGGGGCTGAGGAGACTGAGGGGTGTCCGTCCGCAGGGGGATGGGCGGCTGATTGAAAAACACCCCAGAGATAAGAAAAGAGATGGACTTTAAGGCTTTAACAGCATGCTTACTGCAGATGTCACAATGATAAACGATGACAGACGACGGATGGAAATGTCAGGCGGATGCATGAGAACTTAAAACAGCAGTGATTAAATCAATCTTCTGAAATGTCCCGACATGGTTTACAAAAATGTTGCCCTCTCCCTCCATGTAGTTACCGGCTCAGACTCATCCCCCATCTGCAGGTGCAGCAATGAACGAAAGGAAGGAAAACACACCAGAGTTCAAGAGAAAAATTATAAGAAAAGCACCGAAAAGGGAGGAAAGAAGAAAAATAGATGTTTCTGCTCCTGTAATATAGGTCTATTTCTGTTGCTGTTATCTGTCTTTTATAGAACACTCCAACTTATCAAGAACATGTTATATTGTGTGTTCTTTGTGGTACATGACTTCTCTACTGTATATATCTAGATATGTATATTTGCTGTTTTTCGTTTTTCTTATTTATACTTCTCCACGTCTGCCTGAACACATTGCTATCTATCTATCTACTGTCTCTATGTCCCACTGCTTTATATTTTGTTACTGTCAATTGACTTTTTATGCTGCTGCAACGCAAACATTTCCCAATTTGGGATCAATAAAGTGTCTGTGTGTCTATCTATCTATAATCTATCTATCATTGACATTAAGCCAATTATTAAAATAAATAAAGATGTGTGACGGCCTTTCAGAACGTGATAGCTTTACTCAAAGGGCGCCGTGTAGAAGACCTACCAGGCTGTCCAGTCCTCCACCAAGAAGGTCCATAGCTCCCAGCTGCATGCCAGGGGCGGCGGCTGGTGGGGGTCCGGTGCTGGTGGGGGGGGTCAGGTCCAGATTAAGCAGATCTCCCAGGAGGTCTCCCTGGGATGGGATGACAGCGGGGGGCGCCTCAGAAACAGCAGCAGAACCCGTATCTGGGCTCTCGACACTCTCCCCACTAGCAGGGGAAAAAGTAAGTAATTTGTTTATGTCATTCATATGAATCACTGTTTTGCAAATTAGATGTGTATATATGATAAGTTGCATGTAAAGGCATGAAGGAATGAAGAGCTGCACAGTTTGAAACTGCTAGAAAGTGTGTTGAAGCAGGGTATATGCAGGAATCCTGAAGTCAAATGTAAAACCTTTTAAGACCTTTTTTAAGACCCTTTCCATACATTTTAAGACCTCATCGCCACTTGGAGTTTTAACCGGTCACATTGGCGACACACTTTACCTCACATTTATCTCACATTGACTATATACAGTATTGATTGTCCTTCCTCCTTATCTTCCAACCATTTGGACGCAAACTTGCATTTCCCCATAACGATGTTGTTTAACAACCGGCGTAAACGGACCTCCGCGCTATCAAGCAGTGAGCGCGCGATGTCCTGTTCAGATGACGTCAAATCCAACGGGATGCCATAAATAAACTACACAGAATCACACTACACACCTACGCAATGATTACATTCAGGCAGACTGTAGAATACAACCTCTTTGGACCATTTATATACTTATTGAAAACAAGCTACAAAATGTAATACCTTGGAAAATGCCGTTTAATACTTTTTAATAGCCTTCATTTTCGCTAAATTGATTGATCAACTTTTAATACTTTTTAAGACCCCGCGGACCCCCTGTAAATGAAAACACAATTGGGTTCCCACACCTTCTTAACGATCAAAAGTCAAGGATATCTCAGGGGCTTTACAGGCCCAGTTCCATCAAGGGCAAAGACCCAACACGGCATTATTAGCCATTTTTATACTGAGAGCCAGAAGGCTTTACAAAGCAAGTTTAATGTGTGAAGGCTTTTCAATTAGTTTCATTAGTGATGGCAAAGTACATGAACACAGCAGAGCAAAACACTCTATTGAGCTTTATCAATGAGCTGAAGTGCCAAGTAAAATAGAAATGGAATGACCCATGTCTATGCAAATTAAATTTAAATAAAAGAAAGCACTTAAGAGGTTAATTGAGGCCTTGTAACTAATTCACCAGCACTTCCAACGGTATGACTTGCTTGAAGTGAATATGTTTGCCCTTTCCTTGTTGATTGGATTTTGAATCTTTATGGTTTTTGTACTTATAAGTCGCTTTGGATAAAAGTGTCAGCATAACTAAATGTAATCTATTCAGGTTGATTTTAGGTAACCCTAACCCTTTTACTATAAAAAAGGCCTTTTTCACAACTTTCAAGGATTCAAGCGACCCATGGAAAGCATGGAATAATAGCAGAATCAAGAGGCTTAATCCTCTGAAGTAAAACAAACCCATTTCCTGCATGGTTCAAAAGAAAAGGAGGACTCACGATCCAGCGCTGCTGGTGAGTCTCTTGTGCTGAACGCCGCGGCTGCCCTCCACGAAGGCACTGGGGGGCTTGTGGTAGACGGAGGCCAGAGTCCCGATGTGGCAGATGAGCTCCTCCAGCAGGGTGGGCTCGATCAGATCCGTCTCCTCAGAGATCAGGGGCTTCTCAGCCAGGACCACCTCCTTGGCAGCCACTGGGTCTGTGGAGAGCAGACGCCAGTAGATGTACCCGCGGTCCCTGAGGTCGGGGTTATCGGAGTCCTGCAGAGAGACGGAGGAATGAGGATGAAGGATTATCATAAATGAAGCATGCTTAATGAATACTTCATGTTAAACTCTTCTTTGTCTTTGCTCATTTAAACCGAGACAGATCTAGATTTATGTGCGGCGTAAAATATTAAAAAATGCAGATGATATGTGGGGCTCTAAAAGGATGAGTTTGATGAATAAATGATACATTTTGTCATGAGGTTGTTTTAAGTTATGAGGCTCATTTTACACGCTGCTGCTCTCTGCCTGTCAAGAGCAGGAACTAAATGTTTGAATGTATACATCTGGTTCATCCAATGATGTTGAACACATGGATATTAACCAGTTTATGCTGTGAATTAATCAATATTAACTAATGATCTCCATTGACATCAGGACGGCAGATAGCTTGCACATCTTCCGGCGCAAACTGAAAACTCATCTCTTTCGACTCCACTTCGAGCGATAGAACTATTAACAAAGCACTTTTATACTAATAAAGGACTGGATTACCTAAAGCCAGTTGAGTAGCACTTGAAATGTTTGGCTCTATGAAACCTGATGTACTTTATGATTCTGTTTTCTTCAAGGTTGTGTCTTCCTGGTCGAATGTACTTATTGTAAGTCGCTTTGGATAAAAGCGTCAGCTAAATGCGATGTAATGTAATGTAATAATCTTATTCTCTCCTTTTCTGCAGAATATAATGTTCACTTTTAGGTTAACATTGTATCAGAGTGACTGAAACCATAGTTGATGTCATCTTCCTATTCTTATTAAATGGCTTAGTTGAATACTCGATTCTGATTGGCCAATTCAGAACACGTGACACGTTGTTAATCCAGAACAGACAGACCGCTGTCAAGCACCTATTGACCGTTGTTAAGGACGCTCACATCTGCACAAAGAAGTCCGTTCGATTTAACTGCACACAGTTTGGCCGAAAAGCAAACTGTGTGCAGTTTGCTTTTCAAACTGGGACATGGAAACAGCGGAGAAGTAACGGGGCAGAAACCCTCCTTTTTACGCAGCGGTCCAGACATAGACATCAAACGGCGACACATATTCAGTGTGCAGTTACTTTGGCATCAGGGCAGGGATATCTAGATACTTTCCAAGGTTTGACATAATGAAGTGTGCTACTTTTAAAGCAAGCAGCGACTTTTTCAAATCTGTAATCAAAAAGGTCCTCAAAAACACTATCGAAGCAGTTCCTGCCGTTGCTAAGGAGGATCAAGAAAGAGAAAGTAAAAGAGGGTAAAAGACGGAGCGCTGGACGTCAGATAAATGCCCAGAAGAAGGCAGAGAGGAAGTAAACTAACAGGAACACGGTATGGGCTCTGCAGAGTTTAGAGACTTGTTAGTGGATCAGAAACTGTGGAGTTGGACAGTGCTGCCATAAAGTTGTTGTTGTCACAGTTCCAGCTGTTGGTGCGCCGTGGAGCGGGGGTTTTGTTCTCTTAGCGGAAGAAATACGATCATTTTTAAGTCAATAAAATCATTTAAATTAATATTGGGAGTCGAGTCGTTAGTTTAGTATATGGCCGTGTAATAAGCGGGATAATGTGCAGCGACTTGGTCATTCAGTCTCATCAAGAACCGTCCGCGTCGGCTCTCTGATGATCTGTTCTTCTCCCCATAATGACCGCCTCGCTGCACATCATCCCTTACATAAATAATGGAGGACAAAGAAAGACAACTTATTATTACTGAGGTGATAATATTATATATGATTACAATTCATCAGTATCTTATTCATGATAATACTACAATTAGGTTGATCGTTTTATGTCCATTCTGAAATAATAATCGTGCACTGGTGTTATTTGGCTAAATAATACTTTTCCGAAATAAAGTTGCAAATGCTGGCAACATAAAACCATTAAAACACAATTAGGGTAACAGCCAGAACCTCTGCAGTCATTACTAAGGGAAGCTTAAGGCTCATATTCATATGTTCATTACCATACTCCAGTGCCCTGGAACGATTGACTAAAATAGACCGCCTTGGAAAAGATACAGAAGGCAGCAAACTCAAAAAGTGAAGTCTGAATAGAACATACAACACAAACGTAGATTGCAAGTTTAGAGTAGTAAGTGAGGATGTTAAAAGCATGTAGAATATGATGGTAGAAACATCACATGTGAAAGTGTTTCATCTCACCTGTGTAGCCAGGCTTAACACCTGCTGCACGAGCTCCTGGGTCTCCGTGGGCTTCTTCAGGAACAACTTGACGATTGCCGTCAGCAGCTGCAACTGCACCTAGAGGACAGAGCGAAGACAAACCATACGTTACAACTGCTCACATGCTAAGTTCAAATGCAGCGAGTGGAAGTCAAATGGTCCTTAAAACAGTTCTAAGGTGTATCTGAATGGTGATGTTTTAATAATGGCCTGCACTGAACCACAGTAAACACATTTAGGTTTTCCACGAAAGCCACACCCTGCTAAACAGTAAATATTCCAACTACTAATGAAATCTGCCGTTACAAAACAGCATCAAATGGAAGGTTTTATGCATAATGATTTATTTTTACCCACAAAATCCCTTAAAACCCGAAAAGGCTCTTCGAGGCAATATGGAAATCTATTATTCAGGGAAAGTGGTCTAACGGAGAAGAGCCTGTCCTTATCTCACACTCTCTGTGGTGCAACACATTTCAGAGTGAGATATGGCTGCTCTAAAATGTGTCCCTGAGCCTGATAAGAAGTGTTTCTATAACTCCCATGACCTCTTTATAAACACAGTAAAAACAACATATAATAGTCATCTAGGATACTTTCATTTCCATCACAGTACCAGATTGTCAGTGAAATAAAACACGTTTTCTGCAGTACTCCTGTGTGACATGCCACCTTCATTTCTACTGCCCTGCAGCAGCATACCCATCGCTTTAATGGCTTCCAGGAACAAAAACCAATGTGTGCTTCGTACTGCCAGCACAGGCTGTTCCCCCAAAACTATCATTAACCCACCTGAGTGCTTTCATCATGGAAACCCTCCAAAAAGCTCTCCAGCAGCTCGTCGGCGTTGTCGATGCGCTCAGCGTACTCTCCCACGATCCAGATCATAGCGGCCCGGGCCTCAGGCTCGTCCAGAGACTCCAGGTGTTCACACAGGGTGGCAATCACACTCTCGTACCTGGAAACAGTCACACAAAGTACAACACCAAAATGTATTAGGAACAGAGGTGGGAAAAAGTGCAAATACTTCATTACTGTACTTAAGTACATGTTTCTGGTATCAGTACTTTACTCCAATACTTATTTTTCTGACGACTTTTTACTTTAACTTCTCACATGTTGAACCCAAATACCTGTACTTTCTACTTCTTACATGTTGAACCCAAATACCTGTACTTTCTACTTCTTACATTTTCCAAACAGCTGGTTCCTTTAGTTTGAATGTGCGTTTGGTGGCGTGATCATTATTATTTAGAGTCATTGCGTGCCTTGATTTGAACACGAGCCGTGTATCCATCATTTCCTGGTCTTCTCTAAAGAAGAGGGACCAATGAGAATGTTGTAATGTTGCGTTGGTCAGCATGGAAACATTCATTAGCTAACAATGACATTATTGTTCTATTAATATAAAGGGAGGTCAGGTACTCTTTAAAACAGCTGCTAGTTATGGGTACTTCTTAGTTGAGTACATTTTGAAGCCCATACTAATTTACTTTTACTTGAGTAAAGAAGTTTAGTCAGTACTTCTTCTTTGACCACGAGTATCTGTACTTCTACTTGAGTAAAGGATGTGTGTACTTTTGCCATCTCTGATTAGGAATGGCAACTATTTTAAACAATCAGTTCAAACCAATAACTATAATACTCCATTAATGTTTGAATGAAAAGGAGACACACACACACACACACACACACACACACACACACACACACACACACACACACACACACACACACACACACACACACACACACACACACACACACACACACACACACACACACACACACACACACACACACACACACACACACACACACACACACACACACACACACACACACACACACACACACACACACACACACACACACACACACACACACACACACACACACACACACACACACACACACACACACACACACACACACACACACACACACACACACACACACACCATGTAGCTAAAAGGCTCGAGCCATGTCGAGCTGGAAACTTTTGAAAGCTGCTCCCTTGGTGACTCGCTGATGACTTTGAGTTGTGTGGGCGAGGACTGTGTCATGCTCCATGAATCTACCTGGTTGTATGAACCGTCACTGAGGAATGGCCCAAAACCTCACCTGCATGCATTTCATGATAAATGCCAATCTGAAACCACTTGGTCTGTGTAATGAGCTTTCACTCTGAATATGTGAGGGCCAGGGGAAACGAAATTGAGGGCAAGTGAAGTGGAGTGCAGGGTGCAATGGAATGCATGAGTAAATGTGTACACCAACCAACAATGCAAAGCACAAAATAGTTCATACATCACGCATCTGAAAATGTCTCAATTTAAACGGGCGGACTATAAAGCCTCGTCAGACTTTGATAGAGGTGAATAATAACAGCCTTACAGCAGAATCAGTTTCCACCAGTTCCTGATGAATGGTTGATGAACATTTGAATCTGCATAACGAAGTGTAAAGAAATAATGTGAAAGGACCACACTGATGCCTTTCACTGAACGCACTTGTTGGGGTACTTGCGGAAGATGTCCTTGATGACCACGATGGCCTCCTGCACCACATAGTTGACCTTGGTCTGGATGAGGTCAAGCAGCGTGCTGACGCAGCGCTCCGCTGATTGCTAATGAGTGGAAAGAAGAATAAATCTGTCATGACTGGGCTGCAGAAAAAAAACACTTTGGACAAACGCATATTTATTGTGTGCTTTTAATATGCATAAATCATATTGTCGCAATATAGAACAAATTGATAATAATTAACATATTGTTGCATATGTAACAACCTGCTGAGTAATAAACCTTCCATCAGTGTCAAGCTGTCAAACTCCTACATCCACTACAGTTATATCAGTATTAACAAACTAGGCTAACAGTGAATTTGAACATCTCCAGAAACGTGTAGTTTGAAACTAAGAAGGAGGAATCTTATAAATGATGTTTTATTGCTGTGCAACATAGCTGATAGTTAAAGAGAAATACAAACTAAGCATGTGACGGCAGCGTGATATCATCTCCTCTCACCTCTACTTTGATGGCACAGCGGCCAATGGCCCTGACCGCTTTACGGACAAAGTCCACATCCACCTCAGTGGCGTACTCCTTCAGCTCAGCCAGAACCTACAGCCACACAGACACGCATTAACATGTTTTGCTTTCTTAAGGCACCCCAAAGATAATGGTTTTCACTCACAGTGAAGTATTACAGCTGTGGATGTGTTACCTGGGCGATGTTAGCTTGAGATGCTAGGCGGATCATGATGTCCAGCTTCTCCAGCTTCACATAGATTGGGTCATTGTACTTCACAAAGAAAACCTTCATCTCGTGTTTCAGGATCTCTGGGCTAAACATTTAAATAATTCCCTGTTATTTGTGGAAAATGTACCATGCTGCAGTAAAATGCGACTTTTATTATGTTATGATATTCCCAAAGTATAAAGAATACTAAAGAGCCTCCACATGTCATCTTCCAACATTTACCGTCTCTGTACGATGAGGTTGATGTTTCGAAGGGCCACATATTGTAACTCGGGCTCAGCAGAGAGGAGCGTGACCAGTGGGGGGGCGAGCTTCTTCAGGAGGGTGCCATAGTAGTCCAAGTCTTTGGGCAGCATCTCCATGAACTTCATTAAAACTTTAACGGCTGACAACACCACTGCAGAGTTGGCGTGGGAGAGCCGTGGGGTCACACGCTCACAGATGCTGACATCGGGAGAGAAAAGAGAGAGGGAAATTAAACGTGTGTGTATGTATTATTATGTAGACTTATTGGTTTGTTTGGCCTTATGATGGCTAAAATTGGATGACCATTTTAGTTTCCATTTCATATAGCACTGTAAATTGCATAAAATGATGAGCTGTTTTATGTATGTTGTGTGTGTGTGAGGACCCCAGGAAGAATAGCCAATGCTCATGCTAGTGCTAACGGTGATCCTGATAAAGAATAAGAATACAAAATCGGGGTGAATGGGTGCATTTGCCATGCATAGTTAATGAAGGCTCTCTCTCACCTCTGGGACTCTCGGTCATCACGAGGTGAGTAATTGGCCAGGCAGTCGAGAATGAATATCTGTCCCCACTCTGTGCACTCGTTCAAAGCCGTCAGCAACTTGTTGATGGTCTGAGGGTTCAGGTCCAGTAGATTGCTGTTGGGGTGAGACTCTGCTATCTCCGACAGCGCTGCCACTGCGTTCGCTACAACCTGAAGATGAACACAAAAGTTAAATAAATAGATAGATATACATATAGATGGATGAATGCCAGAAGAACAATTGAAGCCCCCAGTTATTATTACAATAAGCAGTATTGTATTTCACTGTACAGCATTTAATTCTATTATTAGCTCCTCTTATTTTATTTTAAAGAAAAGCCAAAGGCCCCTTAACCTGTTCGGGTGGCCCACGCATCCACCCCTTCCCTCAAATAAGAAAATACATGCAAGTTCATGGCTACTGGAGACAACGTTCTTGTTGCTCTGTGTTGCGTTGTTAATGAGTGACACACCGGAGTTCAGGATCTGTGGGGTTTGTTCTCCCAAAAATATAATTTAGGCATTTAGCAGACGCCTTATTCCAAAGCGATTTAGAATGAAAAATTACAGGGACATTCTCCCTGGAGTAACTGAGGGCTAAGTGCCTTAGTCAAGGGCACACTAGTAGTGGTGTTCCAGGCGGGATTTGAACTCACAACCTTCCGATCATCAGCCCACCTCACTATCCATTAGACCACCACATTTTTGTTTAAAAACAATTATTATTATTTTTTTTATGAGATCCATTTGTGGCGGACGATATTCTTGTTTTACTCAGTTTCTTCTTGCACTAAATGTATTGTTTTTATTTAGTTTAAGTCTTATATATATTTATGTTGCATTGTTGTAGGAGCTGTGACCCTAGGTTTTTCATTGCATACCTACACTGTAGCTGTGCATATGACAATAAAGCCCTTTGAACCCGTATTAAGATATAAAGTAGAGGTCATTTTAATAACACAACTTGGGCAACATGTTAAATATTTGTATGCCAGCAAAGGGGCTAATCAGGGAAAGGCAGAGCTGGGGCTTGAAGCCAGCTGGGTCTGGTTTAAACAAAGAGGTCGTACCATGGGGTTGGAGTCAGAGATGAGGTCTTTCAGGGTGTCCAGGAAGCCTTGGTCCTCCACCAGCTGGGCGTTGATATCATGGAGCTTTGCGACACACACAGCGGCCGTCTTCCTCACATACGGGTCTTCGTCCTTCAGACATTTCCTCAGCGGCTCACAGAGGTACTCGGTGATCTTGTCCACACGGATGCAACCCATTGTACGAACAGCAAGGGCCCGGATCAGAGGGTTCAGGTCTTCACAGTCCTAAATGACGGTTCAAAAAGGTCATCATTTTCTCACAATTACGTTGTTACTCTGAAACAGATTTGAATGTATCCAACATGTATTTGCATAAGCATTCTGGAAAGAATGAAAGGGAAACTCTCCATGCATATTGCAACGAATCACAGCTGGTTAAAAATCAGTCCTCATATCTCGAGGTGTCACTGCTATTGTAGTATGACTAAAGGGAAGAAAGAAGAATCAATCTTCAAAGGACACTGTTGGCTTTGTTCAACTTAAACGGATACTCCGAGGGTTTGTAATTATCTTATTGAATTCAGAGGGATAATGGAGAGTCACTTCTCACAGCTGCGAGTAGCCCAAATACAGCGTGCATGAGTAGGTTCAAATGATCAAGAGAAAATGCATCCTCCCTATCATACAGTGTTGTACAAACATGTTTACAGCACTGTATCAAAACAAGGTACTTAAACACTTTCATTATATTATAAAATCATTTTTGGCACAATAGGAACTATTGCATCGACCAAGCAAGCTCTTACTCTCACAACTGTACTTCAAATACTGTTCTAGAAACATAAAATAAAATATGTTTTACATAAACCCCCCACTTTAAATGTTCTTTTAGTCTTTATTATTTACCTACCTTTATATTGTATAGGTCTTAAAGGATTTAATCTTCTTTTATTAATCTAACATGCTTCAATAGCAATATCTATTTTCACGTTGGTCTTTTTTATTTTTTAATCGTTTAACCTTTATTAGAATTATGGCATTTTTATTACCTATATGTTTGGGGTTTTATATTTTATATTGTTGCATCGACTCAGTCGTCTTGTGTCTTATCTGTCTGAGAGAAACCATTATTTATTTTATCATACATTTAACCTCCTTGTGTCTATTAACCAGATCAAATGTTATATTTTCCTGCATGTACCTTTAAAGTTCTTAACAAATAATCTGAGGGGAACTTGTTGTTGTTTGTTTTTAACTTGTGATGTGTCATTTTGTAAAACACTTTGAGCTGCACGTGTTGTATGAAAAGTGCTATATAAATAAAGCTTTATTATTATTAGTATTGAGCTTTACCTTTACGAAGGTGTTAACAGCCATGATAGCCATGTCTGGCTGACTCTTGGCGTAGTTCATCAGGTACAGGTAGACCAGCTTCTTCAGCTCCAGGTTGTCCGTCTGCATGCAGTTCACAACATCCGGGAACAGAGCACTGAAGGAAGGACAAGGTGTCGTTATCCTGCATTTCTCCAGTGTGGATGTTTCATAGATATACTATCCTCTTACTCACCTGACATCCTTGCCAACTGTCATGGATGCAATGACCTTCTTCACAGCCTCTTTCTTCTTCTCTTTCTTATCACTGTTTAGCTCCGCCTTGAGCTCGAAGATCTCCCCTGCACACACAAGAGAAAAAAGCCAATCACACACCATGTAATCCATTTGTGATGTGGGACGTGAAAAGGAGTAGTGGGCAGCATTGAGCTCTTTTTCAGCAGATTCTGATATTGCTGGGAGTAGGAGTGTTTTGAGGAGACTTTGAGGTTATAGTAAAGCATCCATCGAGGGTCCAAAGTGAACTTTCTGGTCTATCTGCCAATGGCTGGTAAACAAAACACTTTTTTTTTTTTAAATGGCCATAAAACTGCATAACAAACAATGTCATTAAAGACTCATTGTATTACTAAAAAACTAAACAAAAAAGCAGATCTCGTCTCACCCATTCATCTGTGAATTGCCACTTCTCTGTATATATTCTTTTAACCTTACTTCCATCATGCTCTTCAAATTCATTGCATCTACTGTATGTGCCTCCACGAGCTGCCAGACTCTCTTTGCACAGATCTTTCCACCAGCTATTTGCCAACATTTACATTAGGCAAGGGGCGAAAGATCATTTTAAACAATGTCCCTTCCACTGCATTGTTTGTGTAACGTCTGACTAAGGTAGCCTCTTCTTACCACTATTCACTGATAATATATCAAACACAACTTCCAGATCTTTCAGTTAATATTCAAAGAGTTAGTGCATCCTTGACAACCCTTTTAAAACCTGCTGCATCCTTATAGGCCTTGAAGCGATCAATGGCTAGAAAGCTTTTAATGCAAAGCAGCGGCAGGATGTGCAGCTCTTGTATTTGGCGTTATAAGTATCTGAATAACAGCTCCAATAACATGGCGAACGAGAGTGCACAAGTCATGCCGCCCGACTGTTGACGGGTATATATGTTTTCATATTCAATATGATCTTTTAACAACTTTTGACGCAAAACTCTGTATACGTTTCTGCTTTACGTGTGCGTCTGCTTTCTGGAGGGAGTGCATGACAGTTAGAATTGAGTATCAATTGGATGACATGAAATGTTGCATACCTTTGTGTCCGTGGTACATATATAAACAAATACATATTCTTATTAATATCATAAACATGTTAAGCTGATCTCTGATTTTCCAATCTGTTCAGATGTTCAAACATTTCATCGCATTGTTGTGACACGGAGGTGTTTTATATGCATGACGTTGAGTATAAACACATATATACACTTTTAGTACTCAATCTTTGGCTTAGATACAAGTCTACTGACTGAGGTTCCCAGGCTGTGTAAACAGCTTGTAACTCCCAATCTCCTTAAAGATGTAAGCTACAGGCTTCCCACAGCAACATTGGGCAGATCCACAACAAAAGCACATACTAGAAGAATCATGCTCTTAACTCTCAAGCTATCCTTACAAAGTTTACAATCACTTAAACTCCTCTGTTTGCATTTCCAAAGCCCTGTGTGGGAACAACGTTCTGGGTCATGGGAAGAGACACACAAATAAAACGAGTGGCACAGCAGGACAAGTTCAATCTTAACTAATGCTCCATATGGTTAATCTGATCAGAGCTGTTCAGGGTTTGGCAACAACAGAGTGAAAACATCTCTAGCTTGATCAAGGGTACACACTTTTAACAATTCAAACCTTAACAGAATAAGCATTCATGTCTCGAGGAAATCTTTAAATATTACCACGACTAAGCAATTTAAAGATGTACGGTAATTAAACTGTGTTATGCATCAAGTTGCTCTGCATATATTCAATAAAACCTTAATCTGAAACCCCTGAACAGCTTCCTTTAATAAGACTAACAACACCTAAAGCAGACATAAGAATTTAGCTGCACCTAGCTGACTGATATGCCAAAAGGTCCACCAAGCAGTAACTTGAAAAACAATGAATGGATGCTGGAAATGATTGAGAACTGAAATAACTTGTTTTAAATGTAACATTATTTTTGTTTTATGAACTATCAAATGAGCTATCAGACCTTTCTTGGTTGTGGTGAAGTACTTGGAGTCCGTCATCTTGGATCCAAATTGTCGATTCTCCTGCAAAAGATAGATAGGGTGAGAAAGACGACTGTGAAATATTTCCTCAGTGGAAACTTGGAGCATCCCAAGAGCAACAGGAAACACCAGAAGTGCAGACACAGGGAAATAAAAGGAATTCCTGTCTTCTCCTCAAATGTCAGTGATCTATCAGAAGGAAACAATGGTTTTTGCTGAGAGAACTGGCACCATGTCTTGTTTTAACCTGAATCGTGTTGGTCAGCATCTATGTGGCTTCTGCAGTAACTATAGTACATTTCCTGTTGGTCATTTCAACTATTGGTGGAGCACCTCTCTGCGAAGGATCTTCTCCTTGTATGCAACAATACTTCATGCTCTAAAATATGAGCAAGGGTGCTCAAAAGTCAAAAGAAAACAACTGATTTCCTGAAAAACATTGAACATGACATTTGTCTTTTGATCTGTGTATACCTTTAAGAAACACATGACTTGTGTAAATAGTCATCACATTTGAGTTTTGCCGCACATATACATGGTTGTGTTCTGGTTACAATGTTAATGACTATACTGTGATCTCTGACAACTGACATCCTTTTTTTCTACAAAACGCCATCATGTATAACATTAAATCATGATTAGGACACATTATTACCACTGTAAATATTGATGTTGTCCACACTGAATGAAACAGATGGTATCTCATTACACATTAGTATACATAATAATTGCATTAGCCTTTCATTAACATGACTGACTTCCTATTACGCAACGTTATCCTGATAATGTTAATTTAATGGAACTAGCAGTGGCAGTGATGCTAACAGAGAGTGATGTTGACAGCAAGTCTAAATGAATGGCAAAGGCCTAACACTTATCATGTGTTCTAATGACAACGACCTGCGTTTCATTAAAAACACGTACAAGTTGTATTATTAATTGAGCTTCACAAACATAAGACAGGCTGTTAGCCACAAGCTAACCAATAATATGCAACTGACGACGAAGCTCGTACATTTCGGTACATTTGTACGATAACTCACGCTGTCATAAGGACACCTCAATAAAAGGACACCCTTAAATAGTTTGCAGAGATACAATACGAGTGCTTTACATTAGCTAAGTTTGAGTTATTCCTGCTAACTTAGCCACAAAGGTAGAGGAAAGGTTCGCTAGCTGAATAGCATCAGGCTACCATGACGTTAGCATAGCAGACTCGAGTGTTTCAGAGGAAATAAAGCTAAAACAAGTTATTTAAATGAGTGCAAACAGGTCTGCAATGTCCCGGTGCTATTCGATCAATTACTTACGCATAACTGATTCGCCCATTCCTGCATGATAGCAGTAGTTATCTGAGTTAACCTGGTGCTAAATGCTAGCAGTGTGCTGCAGTGAGCCTGTCAGTGTCAGCTAGCGCCTGACCACTTCTCTGAGAAAATGACCTTCTGAGAACCGGCTTAAGGAAGTTAAGCTCTTAATCTACCCGCCTGGCTCAAACCTTACCAACCGAATTAGCGTACCTTCTGGAGTTAAAATTAGAGTGGCTTCGGGATGAGTTTGAAGAGGAAATCTCCACAAACACCTTACCGTGACAGGCGTCGTAGGGATGGCAGTGATGGCCTTCGTCCCTCCCACTTGATTTACTTCCGTCTTCTTTACACAAAATAAACCTTAGCAAACAGAGAGGCAACGTCAGCGTTCATTCAGAGAAGCTCTCTCAATAATATATGTTCAACAACTCTATCAATAATATATGTTCAGCTCTCTACAATCAATATCTTCATAATAACATCTTAAAATCAAGAGCTGGAAGAAGTACTCAGATATTTTGACTTCAGTAAAAGTAGAAGAGAGTAGGAATACTCTGTTACAAGTAAAAGTCCTGCATTCAAAATGTTACTCAAGTAGAAGTACAAAAGTATCAGCATCAACATACTTAAACTACTAAAAGTAATCACTATGCAGATTGGCCCATTTCAGAATAATATCATATGTTTCGATCATAATGAATGATGTATTAAAGTGTTTTCAAAGCTATTATCAAGGTGCTGCTAGTTTGAATTAGTTTGTATACAGCATGAACGCTTGTGAATTTACTCCAGGTGTAACTAACTAAAGTCTTATTTAAATGTTGATACATTTTTCACATTATTAATCCAAATATCCATTCTAACTAAAGGTATTGAATAAATGTAGTGGAGTTAAAGAAGTCAATGTAACTCTGAATTTTATTTGAGTAAAGTACAACATTGCAAAAAATGTAAATACTCAAGCAAAGAACAAGTACCTCAAATTTGTACTTAAAAACAGTAAATGTATTTAGTTACTTTACACCACTGCAGAGCGGGAGAGCGGGGGGGAAAGCTGTATTTCTGTCTTACAGTTATAAAGATAGAAGTAATCAAATATCAGTAAGCTTGACAAATGGGATGATTAAACACAGTTTCTTATATCTAATGCAACAGAGAATTTTCCCAAGTAAAAATAAATGATTGAATTACATATAGTCATCATCCACGTTCAGATTTTTGGCTTTTCTTTAACAGGCACTTCATGACTATCCCCATAATCCCATCCCTGTCGGTTTGACACACCGCTGTGACCGAAGCTTGACATGAAAAATGGATCAGAGAAATGTCATGAACTTCAGAGGAAAAGTTTTATTACAAGAACAACATGACAGCATTTTTTTTACTTCAAAAAAACTGTGAAATGTTGCAGTATTGCTATTTCATACATACAAATTCCACAATACCAAGCAATCTGTACATTTAACTGAAGTTGTAGTGAAAGTAACATTAGCAAAGAAGAAATTATCAAATCATGAACATTCAGATTTCGCTGATTAGGGATTGAGAGAAGCAGAGAGAGATTCATGAAGTTGTGCAGGACAAAGAGCTGATAATGTACAATCATTCCTTTTATAATTGACAACCACATTTTGAATTTGACCAATTACTCTAAGCACAAATGTTTTAAAATAAGCCAAAGCATATTTAAATTATAAACAATTAGAATAAAACATCTGTTTGTACAGAAGAGACCCATAACTAGTCCGTATCATGTGGCTTTCTTTAATCATAAATTATGAGGAGTCTACATCTAATAACTGTTTCTGAATTATGCAAAACAGATACTGTTTCAAACCATAGCTTGCAATAGTTATAATGTTTCTACGGTATACTGTTGGGAACAAATATTTAAATTGCTAAGTTTTTTATCAGTTGGCTCCACCTTATTAAGATTAAACGTCCTGCTCATTATCATATTTGGGACACAGATGTAACTTGAGAGACTTCATAAATAAATAAATTAGACCTACATTACTTCCCTCTTCACTCCAACTCTCAACATATTCTCATACAGTATGTACACACATATGCACCTTCTCATTGTTTTCGAGCCTATTTACTGTGTCAGTGCCCTGCAAAAAGATGGTTTCCACAAATGTTGCAGCTTTCTTTTTTTTGACTGGTTCTTTCTATTAAATCTCTCAGGGAGATATCTATCATCGTAAACACAAGAAAGACAAATGATCACCAACTTTTCTTACTTGACAACAAGTCAAACGTTTCCACTTTCAAATATATTTTACAAAGTCCACCCCTGTTATTACCAAAAAACAGAAGTACTGTCGCAGGGCTCTGACCTCTCATCCTCTTGTGCATGTGCTCCACAAGATATCCCTCATATCCAGTTACAGTATCTATTATTCATGAACTGTTGCACACATTTAGACACTCAAGTCAAAGTCATTCTTCATCCATCAAATGTCCCCTTATTACCATCGATATTGGCTCTTATTAACAAACATATACCATTCCAAAATCATTAAAACAGTACATAATTTGACTGTGAATAAAACATATTGTTCCTTAGCCACTAGATGTCACCATAGATTGGGCTGAGTCTTTAAAATCCATCTTCTAAGTAGGTTATCTGGCTCCTTGTGTCTCAATTATACTTACATGATTCAGGGCAATACATTATATATCTTTATCAGGAATTGTACACCTAGACTACGAATAATGCACAATTAAAATGGGCAATGTTCCTCACTTATTTCCACATTCACACCTAAACTCTCCAATTTCTATAATCATAAAGAAATAATGATGGCAAAGTTGTGTTACCGAATAGATCTTGAGTGATGTTGCGCAAAAACATTCAAAAACTAACCTGCAAATACATTTTAAGGCAAAGGGAATTGTCAAGGCATTTCCAACACCAATATTGCATAGCTAAGGCAGCACAGAACTGATTACAGAGAATATGTACATTAAACTGTATATTCAATGCCTTGGTATATACAAAATACCCACATCTATCAGTGAGCACATCGACATGTATTTCACATTCATTCTCCTTAGCCTTTGACGTTTGTATATATGTAGCATTGTATTCCAGAGTACAGTTTGGTCAGAGGAAGAAATCCCAACATTTCTGCTTCACTGACAAAGACACAACCTTCACTGCTCCTCATATTTTTGCACTTAATCCACTTAAAAGTTGCAATCAACTTCAAATGTTTTACTGCATTAAACATAATCTTTAAAACCTGTGACACCTTAACAACAAAAAAATCTATCACAGCTACAAAAACTGATGCGAAAATGTGACATACCACATGAATAACGGCAGACGACTGAACAGGGTTTGGTTGAGCAAGTAGTGTTCATACAGTCAGAGGGATGATGGGGGTACCTATGTGTATGTTAACAGTTATTATATTGTAAATGTGAGTATACTGAGTCAAATGTTAAGAGACTGAAAAAGATCACAGTCATCATACCAGTATTCTGACTACCAAGGCAAGCAGAGATGCTGTGGCAAACCACAAGAGGGAGCCATCCCATCTGTCTGAAGGTTTAGTGTTTACACTGTTTAGAGTTGCTGCCTTAAATCCCTGGCACTTCGCCATGCCCCTCAGCGGGGCACATGGCAGCACATATGCTCTCTCTCAATCTCTCTGTTTCAACCATGAGACTTTCACTAGTGTCTTTGCAAAAATAAAAAATAAACACCTTATGATTGGCAAAAGCATCCCCATGCACACATTAAAATGACAGTGAAAGTAATCTTAAAGACCATTCCTTTGGTAATAAATAATTTGGCTTGAGTGCAACATAAAAGCAATGTGAACCCCCTGCAGTTATTCAGGGGGGGGAACTAAGTGAGAAAGAAGGAGTGTTAGACATGCAGTAAAAACAGTCTATAGCCCAATCTTAACTTTTTACACAGTAGTCAGAGTTCATGACACCCCCTGTGTCATCTGTGCTACATCCAAGCTTCAGTGTCCAGGCTCCCTGACTGTCCAGGGAAGGAGCAGTCTTTGTTAACCATGGCTGGGGAACATGGCCGGGGATGGATCATGTCTGCGAAGGCCTGGTGGAGGCCCTTGCATGTGGCCGGGCGACCGGTAGAGCGTGAGCTCTGAGGGGACAGTGGAGGAGTGTGGCTTGGGGAAAAGGTTTCGTGAGTCTGCAGATCTCTGAAGCTGCGCGGTGTGGGGATCCGTGAGGGGCTGTTTTCTGGCCTGTTGTCAGTGCGAGGCTGCATCCTGCCTCTCAGTTTGTGCTTTGAGTTAGAGGCCATTCCGTCTGTCTTCTTTTGCCCTTTATTAGTCTGCAGCCCTTCTGCATCAGTGTTCCCATTGGCAATAGGTGAAGATGGTGGGGGGGTTTCAGACTGGGATTCACTCAGGCTGAAGCACATGGATGAGTTTTCACTGGAGGAATCCTGGAAAGAGCAGTCCCCAGAGGGGGGGAGGAGCACAGGTGACGGACAAGCCTCTGGGGGCGGGAGGTCATCATTGCCGTCACCATTTTCTAGGTCATAGGGTAAGTTTGGCTGGTGATTCTCAGGAGGAATATCTCCTTCAGGCCCTGTGCCCCAGCCAAGCTGACCCTGCTGACATTTCAGCCCCCCTGTAGGAGGAAAGCCTCCATGGTCTCCATTAATATTACTACAGTGGAAAGCAGGTTGTGAGGGGACCTGGTTCATCAGTGTGTCTGTGTCTCCAAGACCAGGCAGTGAAGACGGAGGTTCCCTCTCCTCGATGGAGCTAGAGATGGCTGGGAGCTTCTTGAGACCCCCTCCCCGCTCCCCCCAGTGCTCAGGCTCTCCTTGACCACCGTTGTGAGGTACTCCAAAATTGTTTCCATAAAGTAAGTTTAAGGGGTCCTCCAGTTGGAAGTGACGGGGATGAGCTCTCTTGGATTCCCTAAGGTCAGGCAGTGTTCCTATCTTTGCCCCCACATTCAGGGAGGAGGTGGAGGAGTTAGAAGAGGAATAGGCCGAGTCAGTGACGTTAGGATCAGTGGTTGCCGGCACTAAATGTGTCCCGGCACCCTGAAGGTTCGCTCCTCCTGGGGCTCTACAAGACCCTCCTCTAGCCTGTTGTGTATTGGCCAGAAACTCAGCCTCAAAGCTGCGATACAGGTCCTGCTCCTTTTGGGGGTCTAGTGTTGGAAGCATCTGGAAGCCGAGCCCCGGTCCTTCCTCCTCGGGGTCCGGGCGCTCCAGGCATGACAAGCTCTTATGGTGGCCTCGACCAGCAGAACGAAGTCCCTGTGACGTCCGGGGGGAGCGGGCAGTGTGATGGTGGAAGTTGCGGGGAGTTGAGTGAGGTGAGCGTCGACCCCCGGAGGTGACCGGTGGAAGAATCCTGCCTTTTCCTACCGAGGGGGAGCGAGGGGCAGGAGGTCTGGGAGTAGTTATGATCTTCTTGCTGGGGCTGCTGTTGTTGTTGTTGTTCTGAACCCCTTTAATAGGTGAGTTAGAGCAGGAGGAGGACTGCCTCTTAGCAAACCCACCCACTAATCTGGGAGAGGAGGGGGGTAGTTGTTTGGCCCGGAGGTCCTCTCGTCGGTCTGGGGGCTGAGGGTCTCTGTGGCAGGAAGCCGGTCCCGGGCTGGCATCACCAGATCGAGTCCTGCTGGTTAACTTACTCTGGCTGTGGGAACGTGGAGCATGGAGCCTCCTCGGGCCCTCGTTTCCAGTGGAGCGGCCCCTCTCTGGGCGGGATGTTCGAGATCCATCAGCGGATCCTTGCGGGGGGTTCGGTTTGAGTATAGGAGCGAGAGCAGGACGTTCCCGGGATTGGCTGCGTGCGCGGGGCAGGGGGGTACGCAGTGATGAGGTTTGATCTCCAGACCTCTCAATCATGTGCTTCCCCTCCTTGCGATTGACGAGCAGGACTACCTCATCACCAGATCGCCGCGAGGCCCCGCCTAGAGAGTACCGTCCCCCTCCTCCTCCTCCTCCCTTAGAGGAGGCTGTAGAGGAGTCACTGTCTCCAGACAGACGTCTCGTCACTGGCAACTTTGTATCCTTATTCCTAGAATGAAGAGAACAATACAAATGTATATTCATAATAACACCACAAACCCAAACCCAATCCATAGCAATGTCCTTGAACCAGACACTGCACTGTCACATATTATCAGGGTAAATCTATGTATCAAAGAAAACAGCCATTGGCATATTTCTCAACTTATTATTGTAGAATATATTAAATGTTTATTTAAGTTGTTCCATCCATCCATTTAAAGATGGGTGAGTCAACTTAGAAACGACGGCATGCCATCCTGTGTTTTTTTTTCTCTATGATTTTGTTTTGTTTTTTATTTATATCCTAGATTATGCCTTGAATGAATGTTAATTACACCGTACTTGTAAAGCTATCATCAGATATTAAATATGTTTATTTTCAGGCCTGCCTACACTCCTTTATGAAGCCCACCTGTTGACCTACTTCCCTAGTTAGCTGTGAACAGTTGTCTAGCGATAGTTATCAGATTAGTGTTTATTTAGTCGGCGCACTTGAAATGGGATGCCCCGCCAACACAGGGTTAATTAGAATGAGCTGTTGCTTTGACGTGTGGTCTGAGCGGGTCTGAGCCATCGCTCAATACAGAAATGAGCCACATATTGGCTACAAGCCAAAGCAAACCGCCATTCATCTCTTAATTGTGTTAAACAATGGCGCCTTCACTCTCTGACATATAGGGAAACTATGTGACCAATTTGACCTTTTACCAGCTACACGTAGAACATAGGCAGATTGTCTTTATATATCATATTAGTACTTATAGTGGCCTTAACATGCCACTACTCTGGCTCTGATGTGACGCTTCAGAAGCAGATCAGAGAAAAATGATCTGTGGTTTCATTTGTCACTGGCTTCTAACTAATTCACACCATCTGTTGGCCATGAGAAGAGAAGAAAAGCTTTAGCAACAGCTCGCAGCCTTCTTTAGACAGTGGATAGTCTTATTTAACGTAAAGGTATTAAAGAGAGGAGAGTAAATGTTTGTTGACCATTGAAGCCACTGGAAAGTGCTGTAGGTTGACAGGTTTATCTAGGCAATGTCACCTGAGATTAGATAAATCTGCTCTGGTCTAATCTGTGGCTTCCTGGCATGTGTTTTTGTTGTGTAGGCCTATATAACCAGTTATTTGTGTGTGTGTGTGTGTGTGTGTGCGTGTGTGTGTGTGTGTGTGTGTGTGTGTGTGTGTGTGTGTGTGTGTGTGTGTGTGTGTGTGTGTGTGTGTGTGTGTGTGTGTGTGTGTGTGTGTGTGTGTGTGTGTGTGTGTGTGTGTGCGTCTTCTGTCTGGTCCTCTGTGGGCATAAAAGGGCTTAAAGGAATTACTGAGCGTTGACCTGCCAGGCTACTTTTGAGAGATTGATTTCTTCATTGTAACATCAACAGAGGTGGGAGAAGTATTCAGATATTGTACTTAATTAGAAGTAGAAGTACCAAAGTATAGGAATACTATGTTACATTACATTTTCATTTAGCTGACGCTTTTATCCAAAGCGACTTACAATTACCAATTACAGGGAGATTCTCCCTGGAGTAACTAAGGGCTAAGTGCTAGGGCAAGGGCACACTAGTGGTGGTGTTCCAGGCGGGATTTGACCTCACAACCTTCCGATCTTCAGCCCACCTCACTATCCATTAGACAACCACTACCCCTGTTAAAATTCTGGATTCAAAATGTTACTTAAAAGTTAAAAATGATTAGCATCAATATATACTTAAAGTACCAAATCTAATAGTACTCATTATGCACATTTGGACATTTCAGAATCATAAATATAATATGTTTTGATTATAATTATGTATGCATTGATATTTTTATCAAGCTGGTAAAGGCAATGTCCAATATTTAACTCTGAATTGTTGTAGTGGAGTAGAAGTACAAAGTAACATAAAATGGAAGTAAGTAAGTTAAAAGTACCTCAAAATTGTACCTAAGTACAGTACTTAAATGTATTTAGTTACTTAACACCACTGAACATGACACTAGTGTAGACGCACGAACCTGAGAGGATTAAAGTGCCGGGGTTCGGAGCGGTCTCGTGGCGGCCGTGGGAGCAGCGGTCTAGCTGCACTGGAGTCGCGCTCGGCGGGGGGGACGGCGGGATTCTGAGAGCGACCGGGCCGTGTGGAGGAGGAAGAGGCACACGGAGCAGAGGGGGGCTCCAGGGAGCGCCGGTCGGGGGGTTTGTATGGGGCGATGCCATCATTTCGCCAGTGTGGTCCTGGGCTGGTGGAGCGGGAGGAGTGGGCGCTGGACGACTTGCTGTGGGCTCCCTGACCTCCTTGGCCACTGGCTTTAGCCTGGTGGTAGCGGTGAGCTGTGGAGACAGATTGATAACACATTTGTTACCATCAAGTCGGAGGTACAGGGTCCGAGGATTTAATAACATTAGACTGAAGCACTCCTTTGTGCACCAGTCAATCCTCAAATGAAATACAGAGTTACATCCCAGGTATGATGGAGGGTCTTTCTCTTCAGTGATTTTGATGATTTGTTAAATGTTTGTTTCCTTGTATCGTGTTTTAATATTTGTCCTTGTTTGATATTACAAATAAAGCTTCTGCGATTGAAGAAAAATTAATCTGATAACAAAGTATTATCATATAGTATCGTATCGTGCCGTATTGTAAGACAGACCTCGTAGCAACATTGTCTAATTTAATCACAAAGGATAAACGTCTTTAAGAGGTCCAGAAATATATATCATAGCTTAACACACCCTTGTCATCAAGCTCTTAGATAGCAATAGCAGATAACATAGTGTATACCTCCCTGAACCAGAAATAGATAAGACCCTAATTTGTGATACGAGCCGACCGTAGAGATGCAGATGATCCCACTATTTAGGGAGAACATTTATAGATCACAAAAGGCATATTTCTATGGTCTCCTAATACTCTATGGTCTATAAATGTAGCACCAATTATGATTTCAGCCAGTGTCAGCTGTCCAGGGCAGAGGGTCGTCTGGTGACATCACCACGTTTACCATTCGTTTGGAGGCCTTTATATGTACTGGCTGGATGTAATATTGGTTAGGTATCTGCATGAAAAAGTGTCTGTATAGATCTGAACCACACACTGTATATAAGAAGTGGATTTACACTATTGGTTTGTAGACTACGTTTTCAAGCCTTGAGTTTAGCATTAAGGCGTCGCAATTTTTATAATTCTTTGCCAATGCCATCTTTGTTTTTAGAAGTAACATGAGAGGGGGGAGAGTTAGTACAACTGAATGCTGAACTAAACATTTGTACGCGTTGAAAATGTTACAACTACCTTTCATAAACTGAAAAAACACTGTAAAAGGGTAAATATTGTAAGACGAAAACACAGAGAGCACCCAGATAAGACAGCACTGTGGTAGGGACCTAAAGCATACGCTGCTTCATCATCTATTTAATCTAGGTGGGACCATCATTTACTAAATGAACAACATGTTGTGTTTATGAAGACTTGAAACTAACAATTAAGACCATAAACTCCAGTTCACAATATTACTTCATTAGGATAATTTTCTCATAGACTTCTACGCAATCTTACTTCTTCTTTTCTTGTTTCTTGGTCTGAACGTATTACATCAGAGGTGAATCATATGTCGTGATCCCAAATGAGTTGTGAGTTATACAACAGTGAGACACAACAATGAAGTGGTTTTGTAAGGGGCTGACAGGGAACAGGAAGTGACCTCACCGAAAGCAGCACAGCGACACGGGTCATGCTTGTCCAAATAGTGCTCTAATGTGTCCCAGCCCCCTCCAACACGCACCATCACATGGGTACGAAGGACCTGGGGGATAGAAAGAGAAAACAAGGCTTCAATAGATACACAGAGAATGACATCCACATTCATGCACAAATAAAAAAGCGACTCCTTTTGATATACTGCGCTGCCACACACACTGCACAAGTCAATGGAAATGCAAATTCCACAAGTGGGGCAGCTTACTGAAGGCTGGCCGGTCTTCAGTGTTACGTAACATCTTGATGCACCCCTGCCTGTGCCTCTGCCTCTCCCTCGCCCCCTCCCGCATCACCCCCAGCTGCTGCCATTATGAGGGCTGTTCATTGTCATGCCAACTCGCAATTAAACAGAGTAGGGTAGCATAAGAAAGAGCCCAAGTGCTGTGAAAGACACTCTCTCCCTCTCAGCTGGCTCCCGTGAGTTTTCGGAGGGGAGCCGGGTGAATTAGCATGGTAACAACTCACCCCTGCTGTCCTCTCTGCTCCCCGGCTACCGTGGAGAGGAGCCGAGAGGAGAGGATAGATACAGCAGAGGGGGGGTTGGTGGATATGTCACTTCCTACTCTCCTCTCCTTTTTGAAGCACCAACATCCACAGGATCAGACTGAGGAGCCTCACTCCCTCCAGGCAGAAGCTTGCCTTCACTGAAGCAACACAATGTGCCTGATGTGATCTGAGAGGCCCCTGGATGGTCCCCCTGCCTCGAGTTGTGTAACAGGGTCTGCCAGCCACATGTTTTAAAGGTTGTGCCCGTGTGTCAGAGGGCGGGCGAGGCAAAGCCACAATGGCATACTGCGTGGGCTGGCACCGAGTTTATTTCCACTGAACCACACACAGCCAGGCTTGGGGAGTAACAGATTATATGTAAAGAGATTACGTTATTAGGATACCATTTGTTTAACTGTATTAGATTACAGTTACATCAAAAAAATGAAGTATCTGTTATCTGGTATCTTTTAAGAAATAGACATCACTAGCAGGTTAACAGTGTTATAATTAATATATTAGGCGTGTGGCAAAGTGGATAGAGCCTTGGTGTTGGGCTCAGATGGTCACAGGTTCAAACCCCACTGCAGTCAGCATGTCGTTGTGTCCCTGGAACACTTCACCCCAAATTGCTCCTGTGGGGATTGTCCACAGGATTGAGTATGTAAGTCGCTTTGGATAAAAGCGTCTAACAAGTAACATGTTATGTAATATTATAGGTAGAGGTACTGACGGAATTTTCTTAACTATTTGTATTGAGGCTACTTTAATTCTTCTTTATTTTAAAATTTGATTTATTAAACAAAACTAAAGTTTGCTTTTAATTAATATATTAAGCTTAAACAGCATTTTTAAACTATTACTGTTTGTGTTATTTTTTTGTATATTAATTATCTTAGTTTCTTATTTTCTAAGGTTACATTGTGAAGTAAAAAACCATCAATTTATTTTCTCTTGTTTTTATTTGCCTTGCATTTGATATTGTGGAAATCCGAAAGTAACAGAAAGTAATCAGGATACATTACTTTTATATTTCGATACCCAGATTCGGTTGCTGATTACATTGACATGTTACTAGTTATTGTAATGGATTACATTTTCAGAGTAACCGTCCCGACCCTACACTGGACACATCGTCTGTTGCTCTGATCAGAGGGAGGCGCAGACATGTGACCTGAAGTCTGACCCCACCTTCTCTCTCATACAATCCCCACCAATCCACTACAAGGCTTCTCATCAGCCGTACTCCTCTACTACATCAAATCCAACAAAACAGCTGATCTGCTTATCTCTATCAGACCTGAGAGTATAAACTGCTTACTCTCCTCTGGCCTTATGTCAGGAACAGGTTTACTGTCTGATTCTGCTTCACCGTCATGTGCCAGCAGTGAAGGGCCAGGCTGCACCAGTTTCATAACATCACTGCTATCACTGATGTCAAAGGTTCACAATACAATACAATACTGCAGAAGTATAACAGTTTTAACCAGAACAGGAGGAATAAACCTTTTTCCTAATTGACGTTCAGCATCAACGATTTCATAAGACGAGTTTCTCTGAAATGTCGAGATTTGCGTCAAACAAAATTTAATTAAATTTTTATCAGTGTTTTTTTGTTAACAGTGATAAGTATGAAGAAGAAGAGAGTGATATTGAAGTGAGAGGAAATATCTGGCCTACACTGAAATAAATTAACATTGACTTTAATTAAATGTATTTTGTCAACAGGTTCCACATAGTTGTATTAGGTAAGTTGAAGTTAAACCTATTTTTTATTATTTAAACGTAATATTAATGCTTTCAACTTACCAATTATGTGCAATTTGTTTACATAATAAATGTATTTAAGTCAACATTTAAAAAAATGTTCAGTGCATAACCCTAACCCTAACCCTAACCCCATTACAAAGTCAACCTAGTTATCCCACTGTGACACAATAATTTCAATTTAGGATTTCTTTTTCATTTTGTAAATGTCCATTGTATCGGCAATTAACCGTCTTCAACACTTTTCAATAATATAGAATACATCTGCTGTCACTTCTGATTCTCTCTGTGAACACGTATTTTAGTTTGTTGGAACAGAGTACTATAATAGAGGTGCTGTTTTGACACATATATCGCTTCATATCCTTTTAATGAGTTTGTTACTGTTAACTTTGTAGGAGGGGTAACCATCATGATGGTAACAGCTACTGAGAACCAGAATAAACAAACATCTTTGTGTAACAGGAGTGGGATGATTGCATGACTATAAAGATAATTAGTTACGGTCTTAAAATGCTGCATGATTACATTTTTGTTTTATTGCATTCCTCATCATGTTTTCATATCCAACGAGCATATTATTCATTTCATATTTAATGAGGAGGTTAAATAGATGTTTTGGGACCATGTTCCACTTTAGATCTGCTTAGCTGCCTAATTTCACAACCACTGAAGGGGTATCACAGTCTTCAGTGCAGACCCTATCCCTGTTTCTATGGCAACAGCGAACAGAGAGACTTCTTGTCGTCATTGCGGGGGCGTGTTGAACCGATTTCTTCTTACATGTTGGTGGTGAGGTCAAAGATGTAGCTCATGGTTCATTTCAGCTCATCTGCCCCACGACTGAAGGCATCTCCTCCCTCTGGGGAGCGAACCCCCCGGGGACGAAGACGCCTTATTAACTCCCCCCCTGTGTTCAAACTGCCCGATCTACCATTTGCTTTCTGCGCTTCATCCCCTCGTTCAGTCCGAGAGCATGTCAGAGCTTTGGTGGCTGAATAGGGTTTTGTTGGCTTTTAAAAACCGGCTGCCCGCTTCCTACCCTCTGAAGAAAAAGGGAAGTGTGTTGGCTGCACTGTGAGGTGCTCGGGCATGTTTATGATCAATGTCACCCCAAGTGAGAAATCAAGAGAGGGCGGAGACGTTGTGAAGAAAGCTAATCTGACGGGCCGAGGCACCCAGACACACACACACTGCAAACAGACACATTTAAATATGTGTATCCTATTAAAGGGATGTACACAGGCAGGTAGGAGGCCCCAGAAAGATTAAACGCTTCACAATCCATTTTAGGGACTACAGGAGGGAGGTTAGGCTATGGGGAGGGAGGTTTTTTCTATTTTCCTCTTACCAAATGTCATACATCCATTACATTAAATGTTACTTGTTAGACGCTTTTATCCAAAGCGACTTACATACTCAATACTGTGGAAAATCCCCACAGGAGCCATTTGGGTTGAAGTGTCTTGCCTAGGGACACAACGACATGCTGACTGCAGTGGGGTTTGAACCTGTGACCCCCTGATCCCAACACCTACACACAACCCACCGCGCCACATCCCCTCTCAGGAATAATTTAACAGCCCATGATGACGGCTTTTGTGCTCGTAAAATGCTCACGAATGTGAAGTTATGACATCAAATTACAATAAAGGAAATACAGAGCAGAATAATCCTGTGTATGTTTCAATACTTGATGAACAGTCGAGCACTTTAGTCTGCAGCATGACAGAAGGCAAAACACCTATTACATCCTTTTTGAAAAATAAGAAAAATAAGAATAATTTTATTGTGTTTGCTATTTGTTTTGAAATGGCTAATTCCAGTGCTAATGTGCGCTTTGTCAGCTTTTTAGAAAACTTCTATTCCATTGATATATATATTAATTATGACTTTTGGAGATTATTCCATTTTAAATTCTTTAGGATTTGCCTATTTAGTTATCTGTGGTCAAACTAACTTTTCAGTGCTGCAGAAATTAATATAATTTAGGTTGGGGAAGGTCTTACATTTCAAGACTCAAATCCAAACATTGTCTACAGTCCCTTACAGTGAGTCCTATTATATTCAGTAGAGATCAGAACTTTGATAATGTAAAGGAAAAAGCTTTCCTAGATTGGGGCGTGCCATCCATTATCTCACATCCTTTGTCTAAAACATTGGTGCCACTAAAAGTAAAGAAACATTAAAATTGCAGACATATAATGTAAACTCAGACAACTTGCGAGTCCATTACTGTGGCTGGGGAATATTTTAGGTAAGTGAAACCAAATCGATCCCTGTTTTCCAGCAGTGAGGTTTTCCTGTGAGACCTGAAGTGGATACGGTGGCAGCTCTTAGGCTGAAACTGAGACAAACAGTCGGGCAGAAACAGGCAAGATAAGGGCCAACCCAGGAAATGACCTAAAGCTCTAATTGTGTCTCAGTGGAAAAAGTACAGTCCTGTGAGTGGGCTAGTAAACACCCACATGACGGAGATGTATCACAATGCTGTTACAGAGTCTACAGTACAGGTCTCTGGGCTCCGAGTGATTTATCTGTTGCATAATAACTCTGCTTGAAACAACATAGGATGCCATATGCCAACACTGTATGGTTCCATGCAATTACTGCAGGCCTCAAAGCCTTCTGTGTCATTTGCCAAACTAGCTCCTATATTTAGCTTAGCTGTAAAACTGAAAAAATCTGGTTTATTTGAACATTTCTGTCATTTTTGACAGATCTAGCAACGTTGAATCAAACAAGGGGGCAAGAAATACAAACAATCAGACAGACAAATGTCTTTTTCGGGAGATACAATTTAAAGTGAGAACACCACACATCAATATTTGGCAAGTGCTGAGTAACTATAACCCACATAGAAAGAAGAACAAAACACAGCAAATTGACATATATAGTTCCCAGTTCTCTTTTAATCAACATGAACACTAACACGCTTTGATCAAAAAAGGTCTTTCTAAGGTTTCGCTGTAGAATAAAGAACATCAAAATCAAGATAGTGGTGGGTGTTGTTTTAAAAGTCAAAGTTTGAAACTGAAACTGAGGTGTTTTTTCTCTGTTTGGGGTATATTTATTCATTTGTCCCTTCTGTCTTCCATATAATGTGGTGGGCTTGTTTACAACTTATACAATAACTGTCTTTCTTTGTGATTTTGTGATCTACATTTTTACCAAATTAACAGGGTGAGAAAATCATTATAATTATTACAAAGAAAGTTGAAAAATACCGAGTTCGAAGACGTGTGTATTCCGAAGTAGGGGAGTAGGAACTTGCTTTACTTTTCGGTGTTTGCCTGATGATTAACGCATACTAACTAATAATATAATCCACCCATATATTTTCTGGTTTAGCTAAATATATGACCGTTAAAAAGTGACCACAAAAACAAGTCTCATGGCTCAAAGTGACAAATATTTCTGATCATGATGGTGAGGACCTACCCTGATGAAGATCAGCGCACTGGAGTCTCCCACTTTGTACTTCCCCTCCGACACCTTGATCATAGGAAACTGAGCTGGACAGGAACACCGACCCAGAATCTCACGCACCTGAGGAGAACAAAAGAAAATCAGTTGAACACACACGGCAGACAAATATGACACACACACACTCTCATTCAACAGGGGATCTGACAGTGCTCCCTTCCTGTACTCCGGGTCAGTTCCCCGCATGAGTTCATGTTTAGTCACACATATCTGGGCCTGTGTGTCAACAACACAATAACAGTGTTTTACAGAGTGAGAAATGAGCAGTCTCTGTGGCCTGAGTGTATGAGGGTGGATGTTTTGTGCGTCATCATCCTTCAAACCTATCTCTCCAAGCACCCACTGGGTGTTACCTAGCCCCGCCCCGCTCTCTCACCACATTAAAAGCCTTAATCTCATCCCTCCAGAACACTTTGGTTCTTCACTTCACCGCAAAGGGTCACAAAAGCACCAAAATACATATGTGGACATGCTAATGTAGGCTCTCCCTCTCTGGGGCTGTTACATGATGTTCTGGTTGTGACATCATAAGCCGAGGAGTGAAGGCGCTCAGAGCCCAGTCTGGTGCTGATGATGTCAGCAGGCCGCGCTGCCAGCTGGGTTTTGAATCGAGAGAGTCAGTGCCCTGGCTGTGGTCAGGGGTGCTTATTAGGCACACACACAACTGCAGGGTGGAGCCAGATCCGCCTGTGTTGCACAGGCTCGGGCTCTCACAGGATTGGACAACTTTGATGCTTTTCTTGGCGTGTCTCTCAGACAAAGGCGTATGAGCACTTGTCGAGCAGGAGGGAGAGAAAGTAAAGCTGCAAAGCGGATAGAGGATAGCACAAGAAGAGAGGATAAATAACCATTATTGTGTGTGTACGGGCTGCCATTACCACGGGGAGGGGAATATTCTATTGATATTTAAGTGATCAAATGATATGTTAGAGGAAAATGTGAGGGTGTGAGCTCCCAGCCTTATCTGCTGTGTGCAGGGCTGGAGGCACATGGTCTGCATGTATTGTGTGGATGAGCATGGTGGCCTATAACACCTACATTATCGTGTATTCAGAAGATTACAGTCACCTTGTTATTTCCTTTAAACAGCACCCCTCGTTCTTCCCCATGCTGATTAAAGAGGGAGGAATCAGCGCTAAGCCCCTCACCTGCCTCTCTGTTCTCCCTCTTTGTTGTCTCTCAGCCGTTATTCTCCACCGAGCACTCGCTGACCGGCCCTAAATGTGTCTCTTTCTTTGTTTTGCTTACAATTTTCTACATCTGCTCGCTCCCTCTCTGTCTCTCCGCTCTTTCACTCAGTCAGTAGGTGGACGAGCTATGTTTGGAAAAACCCCAACCAGTGACTTAATGGAAAGATTGCTATGGCAACAGACACACACATAGCCTTACCCTTCCCGTTTCGACTGTACTCCTTTTTTTCATTCTCGCTATAGTAAAGCCTTTTCTCTCACTTCCAAAAAACCTCCCCCAGAGCCGTTCAGCTGAGGTTATTGTTTCCTCCAGAGAGAAGGTGAAGGACTCGTGTGTCTCATAGCAAACACTGAGCAGGATGTGCAGTCCAACCATGAAGGGATTTAATAATAACATAATCAATAGCAGCACTAGCCTTTGACATGAAATGTGTACACTTCCCATGTGTTCTCTGTATCAACAATGGATACAGTAAGACACACTGAAACCAAAACACACACACACCAAAATGAGATAGGAGGGGAGGAGGGAGACAAGGTCACACGGGAAACATGCGGAAGTGGCGCTGTAACACTGCGAAAAAAATTGAAGGATGAATTATGGATGCATTTTTGGTCACATGAGAGATGCATTCAGCAAGAGCTGCAGATGTTTGAGGAGGAAAAGAAAGGAAATGCGACACAATCCACGGTGCGCCCCTAATCTGAGACTCTGCCGTATCTATCTTGAGATAGGAAAGTGGAGATGTTTTAGCCTAGAAGCACTTTGGTTATAAATCGAGATTCCCTTTGAATGGAGCAGCAGGGTTCGTCTTTAAGTTGTTATATGTGGAAGAACATACAGTACATATTGTGTTAATGATCCCACTGCTCACATCATATCTGCTCAGTGTGAGTCAACAAATTCCTTTCCTTCCTGACCTGCAAACATCTGAAGAGCCATTCAAGGAAGAGACTGAGGGCTGAGCAAACCCTGGGGATGAGGAGAGGAAATGGGAGGGGGAGATAAAAATGTTTAGGTTTTATTTCCCATTGTCTTTGCTGATTTGAAATGTGGACTTACATGCCACACTATTACGGCATCATAACAGAGGAATGTAAAAGGTCGCCAATATGCACTCGTAAAAGAAGATTTGCTTGAATGATATGAGTTTAAAGGTTGTTATTATGTGAAAACACAAACTGTAGTTCTTGTTTTAGTTTTCTTGTTTTGGGTTTACAGGCTGGGAACATTTCATAAATATACTCCAAGAAGCCTCACATTCATCTACATGTTAGTCTGTTCTCCTCGTGAGTCAGCAAACAAAGTGCGACCGCACAGTTTGCACTCATCAAACATAGGTGTGCTGGCCTGCGGTAACAGACTTGTTTTATGATTGTCATGCAATGGATAAGTATTGGCAAACTCAATAAAAACGAAACATCAAAACTCCTCACTCCGAAGGAATTTACGCGAGGGTGTTTCCAGGATAAGACTCCTGTGCCGCCTGAGAGACAACTGCAGGCTTTGCGATGAAATACATCGTCTTTTAAAGGAAATTGGGAGGATTCCAAAAATTACAACAAGCCTCTTCTCTTGGATTATCTTGTTAGCCTGAGGATCTCCTGTCATGACTGGAAACTTCCCAAGATAACACAACCTCGCCATCAGATAAGCAAATAGAGACAAGAAAACACTGTGGGTGCCTGCCTGGTAGGAGGGAGAGTTTCTGAAACTTGAGGGGTTATTGCTTCACTACTCACAGTAAGCATTCCTAAAGCCTGTGATCGCACACTGAAACAAACACATATCCGACTCTACCCTTACATTAAAACACTGTCCTGACATCCTGCATGAAAGACTCATCTGTGAACAACCACGCAACATCTAATGAACATTGAAAAAACTCCTTTGCACAGATGATCTCTTCAAAGACCTGGGGGTGCAGAGAGGCGGCAAAACGACTATAATATAGAATTATTATGGTGAACCTGTAGCCTGTGGGGACAAACTGTAGAGATCATGGACATATGTATTTACAGACTGTTAGCATGCTGGTTCAACAGGCCAAACAAGGAGAGATGAGACAGAAAAACAGATTAATGCCTCAGGATCAGGCGTGTCGGTTATCGCCAGAAACCTTCCCCTGCGAGTCCAGGCAGAATATTACAAAACAAGAATGCATTAGCGCAAATTTTTTTGAAATATGTTGCCTTATTTCCAGCTGAGAGTTAGATCAGAAGATCGATAACACCCCGATACCAAGAGAAGACAGCTAGCCTGGCCCGGTCCAAAAAATAAACCAGCCTGTCAGCAAATCTACAGCATATTCAGGACAAAAGGAAACAAATGAGCATTTAATACGAAATGTCTTAACTATTTCTTTATCTGTTCAAAATCATAAATTATATATTTAATAATCTATGGTGTGTGTTTAATCAGGGTGAAAAATGACATCATTCTGGCCTCATCCTCCTCTTCAAGTCAAACCATTCCCAGAAAATTGATCCCCGTCTCCTGGCCACATGACAAACTGCCCTATGGGGTGCAGGGAGGTTACATGAATCTAATGGACATCAAGGACTGAGAGGCGCATAACTCTATTATTCATCTGCTCCAGTCAGACCGCAGTGTAATCACCCGGCACAGGAAGTTAAATATCAGCCAGCGTCTAAGTCATGTGTGGGTTTGTTTTGATGAGGGTCAGAAACACTCAACACTTCTCCTGGTGACGGTCGAGGTTAGAGAGATGGATGCCTCGCTCTCTTCCCATCCTGACAGTCTCCACCTGAGGCCCGCATGAGGGGGCTGCAGGCAGGGGCAGAAAATAACCAGACAACCCACACAGACAAAAGCCTGTTCGGATAAACACAATATTAAATGATAATCGCGCAAAACGATCAGGAGAGAGAATCAAATGCAATGCAAAAACGACTTAGTGGGCAATATCTTAAGCAGAGTCAGCTGTTTCCCCTGCATAAGGGGAAATAATGATGAGGAGTGAGATCTGGTGCCTTTACACTGAAAAAACTGAAACCTTGACTTTAATTAAATGTATTATGTCAACAGATTTCAACTGTATTAGGTTGAAAGCAATGATATGAAGGTTAAGGTCCTTGTATATAGACTCGTATTGCACTATTCCACTTAAAAACATTTTTTTCTTTTTGTATTACCTTTTATATAGTATATTTTAATATTGGTTAATATTGTCTGCTTATCTGTATTGTTGTGTTGCATTGTTGGAGAAGCCTGTGACCTAAGATTTTCAACGACATAATTACTCTGTAGCTATGTTAGTTTGACAATAAAGAACCTTGAACCTTGGACCTAATATTATTGCTTTCAACTAACCTAATACAGTTATGTGAAATTTGTTGGCACAATAAGATAAGATAAGATATATACTTTATTGATCCCAATTTGGGATTTGTTTTCATCACAGCAGCATGTAAACATGTAAGTCATTGCACACAATGTGAAGATGTAAAGGAGTATGAAATAAAAACCAATAAACATAAAATAGAAACGTCTCCAAATAACAACTTAAAAGTGAAATATATACAAAAGGACAGCGAAAGATATATATATATATATATATATATACGAAGACTATCCATCAAATATACACTATGAAGGGTTGATTACATCTAACAAAATATAAAAGTATGATATTATTAACATTGAGTGTGCAATAAATAGCAAATTCAATTAATATCACTGTACAAGGTGCTGTGTGAGGACACTATATACAGATATTTGAATGTAAAAGTGTCCAGTTATCAAAGCAACATAAGAAACTGTGAGCTATAAGAAGCTGTGAGATTATACATTTAATTACAGTTTTTTCAGAGGGTAAAATGAAAAAACTCTCTCAAATACTAAACCCCTAAAAACACGAGTGCATGTAACCCAGGAGGGAGGAACAGTGAAGGATGCCATGCTGCCTCAGCAAAGCGTACTCATGTGGCCCAATGCAGAGCACGGTGACCTACTTTTCTCTCTCACTCTAGCTCCTCTCTACTGTAGCTCTCCCTCCCAGAGTCACATCATCCCAGTCAGGTTTAACAGAGTGTACAGTGAAGTCACTCTAGGCACACTATCTGTTGTCTACTCTTCTTTTTTTTATTCACTGAATGCATGAATTGGACCATGAGGTTAATGGAGCAGCCTGGCATAATACACACATTTCCCCTCTTTATTACCCCCCCCCCCCTTTGCCCTGCTGGTGTCTCCATCCCAAGTCTTTGATTGAGTCGTCAGCCTTTGATTGCCTCGCTGTCAACAGTGGCCCTCTATTCATATGTCCCCTTTCAATGCCACCAACAAGACATAGTGTTGTGCTCTTTGCTTTATCATCTCTGGCGGAGACACGTGTGGGGGATGGGAATGATGGCTCGCACATATATGACCTAAACACGGGCTGAATGTTGAAGCCTGGGGTGAGAAGAGACAGGAACCAGTTCATATGACGAGCAAGAAAAAGGATGAAGGATGTGAGTGAAGGAAGGCTGTGAAGCTCCAATGGCCTGTTGTTTATTAGCTCCAATATTGTATTGTATAGATGCTTATGCATGCAGTAAATATGTAAACAATTATAGTGTGCATTAAGGGGTCAGTAAGTCTAATTTCAATGATCACATGTATGTCACCTTGTACAGCTGTGTCTGTGCCCAGGGCCTAATTACAAGACCTACAAAATATTCTTTCAGTCATTTGTGTTGGTAGATGACCGTGTTTCTTTACATTATAATGCCTGCAGCATATAGGAAAATACATATCCAATCAAATCATAATCCCTGTCTAGTGGTGATATGGAAAATCCCCCTAATGCAAAGGATAAAGTTGATGTGGACATATAGCAAAGTGACCCAGCTGCTGCCTGTGCCACAACTGAGATAGTAATATGAACACCTCCAGGAGTGGGAAAAAACATCTATCATGACTCAATCTATGATGAAGGAAATGAGCGGACGGTCACTTCCTCAATTTATCCGTGGAAAACCATCCCGCGGTGATATGAGTAATAATAACACGTAGTGGCAGATTAGTGGAAGTCTGTGTGGGTGGGTGAGTGTTTACATAAGGTCGTGTTTTAACCAGGATAGACTACAGCTTCCTTAAGATTAAATACCTAGTGTGGCAAGCAGATAGTTGACGTGACAAATCAACTGTTTGCATTAGGTGTTTCATGAGTCACTTTACTGTTACATAAGCAGAGGGTAATGATGACAAATCATGCAATATTTGTGACACATTTTTACTGTGTTTATTGAATGACAATGTCCTATAGGGACGTGCACTTAAAATAATCCTGCTGCCTGTAGTCAGACTGACTGTAATCCTATTATAACTACACTTGTATTTTCTTAATGAAGTAAACAAGAAGATTACCTTGATCATCCAGGTACCAAAACAACTTAGAAAATAGATACATTTGCTTAAATCTCATTATGACTCTCTGAGCTGCACAAGAAACTAATGGCAAACTTTTTGAAGATGGTACACAATAATTAGTCGAGCTATGCAACTCCGAAATCTGATTCATGCATTACTATGCAGTGTTTCCCACAGAATTTGATTCTATTTGTGGGGGCCCCCGGCAAGACAAGCCAAAGGCCCCTTAACCTATTCGGGTGGTCCACGCAACCACCTCCCCCCCACTCAAATAAGATAATACATGCGAGTTCATGGCTACTGTAGACAACGTTCTTGTTGCTCTGTGTTGCGTTGTTAATGAGTGAGACACACCGGAGTTGAGGATCTGTGGGGTTTATTCTCCCAGAAATATAATTTACAATTCAGGCATTTAGCAGACGCCTTATTCCAAAGCGACTTACAATGACCAATTACACGGACATTCTCCCTGGAGTAACTGAGGGCTAAGTGCCTTACTCAAGGGCACACTAGTGGTGGTGTTCCAGGCGGGATTTGAACTCGCAACCTTCCGATCATCAGCCCACCTCACTATCCATTAGACCACAAAAAAAAAAGAAAAAAAAGAATAGTAATAATATATATTTTTTTATGAGATCCATTTGTGGTGGACGATATTTAATTGTGGCGGTCCACAAATAAATCAATGTATGGGAAACACTGCTATGATACCAATACTTTGCGGTCTTGCTGATCGTAGGAAGATGCTTTCCCTAACCATCTGTTTCCTCACATTCAGGATTTTGTAAAGAAAACTAAGGCTGCTGTGCACATCTTAGTTAATGGTAATCAAATGATGACATTTTCTTTAATGATAATATGGGTTAAAAATAGAGAGGCAGTTGATAAACAGGTTGAACAAATATGTATATTATATTAAAAATTAAATCATGAATTGTCAACACATTTTCTACAGAGAACATCAGTTAAGTAAAATATAAAAAAGGGTCAAACTATCCTTGATATGTAATCTGCTTGGTTGCTGCAGGAAAGTTGTCCGATTGAAATGTATTGAAATCTCTGTCTGCTTGACGAAGGGCAGTGGACTCACAGTCTGGTGTCACAGCTGTGGACCAATACAACTAAGCCCTTTACCTTTCTTACCCTCCCTCCCTGTCAGAAACGTATGAGTACTAGCAATGAGGTTCCTAGTAATAACCCAACGCTAATCTCCTTTAAGACAGAAATACAAAGAAAGAGGTTCTGCAGGATGAACTTGTGACTAATGAGACAGAGCAATAGAGAGGTCTTGTGTCTTGAGGCAAGAAATGAGTTGATTGAGCAGATGTTTATAAAACAATTTAAAGAAAACTGAATTTTATTTAAAAGGGATAAAGGGATTTTCGCATTATATTAAATTGTGGTTGTATGAGGTACTTCCATAGTCAGTATTACCTGCAGTAGATGTTGGCTGGCTTGCCCCAGTTTAGAGAAACAGACAGGAGCAATGTACTGCTGTGGACTGGGGCAGCTGCAAAACGTAGTAAAACCACATGAAATATCCAAATCAGTTTAACTGTACGCTAAAGCGACAATATTGTCACCGCTTTACCATGTTGTCCGAGAGCCTCTTCTGATCAGGAACTAAAGCTGTTATCTATACCCTCTCTTGAAAGTCACCAGAATCAACTGACAAAAACATGATACCTCCCTTCCTCAATTAGTTAGTTTCTGACTTTGATGTTAGCATGGATTCCCCAGCGCCATACAATAACAGTTAGCTAGAATATGTTTCTAGCTAACTGTTTAGCTGCTGCAGCAGTACAATACTTTGCTCCCATCCCAGTACTCTTTTTCTCCAAACTGTGGTCGTGCTGTCCACCATCGACTAATAATAATACCGCAGTAACACAATAGTAACACACTGACTATGGTTAAGTACCTCATACAACCCTACTTCACTAAATCCAAACTATCCCTTTAAGAAGTGTGCAGCAAAATATGCCTTGGCCTATAAAAGATAAATGGGCCACAAACAGCTGAAGCCATTAGATGGGATGTGTTCGAACAACCACGCCTGTACTTGACATTGCTTCCTCTCATCTCTCAGTACCTCTGTGGTTTCTCGTTTGAAGAGCCTCATGTTGCTGATGTGGGCTGTTCTGCGCAGCTTGCATGTTAGCAATATTCTCATGTTGACAGGGTCGATGGTAGAGATTGAATTCACCAGACACATGATGACTGGGAACGCCATTACCCAAATCTGTCAAGTCAAACGTGTCTGTCGGTCACTGTCTGACTGCTGAGAGATGTGACAGTGGGAGTGACAGAAAAGCAGACACAGGCATACGCTCTGTGATTTTCTGTCTTAAAAATGCAGCTGCCTGGTTTAATCCTCAGTCATATGAGTGTTGGGACTCAGACAGTCTGGAATACGAACAGCACACATCCTCCTCCACATGCTCTCCTATTTCTGTCTGCGGAGGTCACACTGAAGCCGCTGCGCTCGGCTGCCTGAGACAGTGTGAGTGTGACTGTCCCCACCCTCCCTCTCCGCTGTCCCTCACAGCTTTGGTGCCAAAGACAGACATTGTTCTCTCCATCAACATGAACATATCAACTTCTCCCCCACATGTTACCACTGGTCTGTCTGCCTGCTCATTAGCTTTACCCTGACAAGACATTTTCTTCTCTAATGTGAAGTGTCAGGCGCCCTGGCAAAGGTCAGCCAGTTCAGCAGGACACATGACAAGAGCTCGATAGAATAGGAAATGTATTAACTACAAACTGCCAAAAGGGACATTTCTAGTGGTGATGAAAAAGAAGCTGCAGAAGCAGGACACGATTAGGAATCTTCCTCGCCGGCAGGATATGGTATTGATTCTTCTTGATGGACAGGCTAAATAAAAGAGGCCGAAGATGATTGTGGACATTTGAGTGTGGACATTTTCTTCAAGAATGCAGGAGAAATGTGACAGAGGTGACCTGTGACCTTTCAGATAAGAAGCAAAGAATGTGGGTGTCAAACACATGCCGAGAAGCACACCCACACCGCAGGGAATCTATATGGCGCCTTCCTTCTTCATAGCACTGATGTGATATTTTCTGAGAGGCTGCTTCACTTTTGACACTTTTGTGTTTTACTCTTGGAGAACTTGGTCTTCTATCTGATGCCTCATTATGTCAACACCACACAAAACACACTGGCTGAAACGTACTTCTGACTGAATCTTTAGTGGGCTACTATTTCACACGAGGTGATAATTGAATGGTCTGGAAATTAAGCTGTCAGATCATCAAACTATCTAAGAGGACTTTCATGATTCATAATGTAGTTATTATTCATACATTTTATGAAGGCAACTATTCAGGATAATTAAACCAGGTAACATACAGAGGCTTGTGTTTTTATCTTTTTAACTTACCAACTCATCCAAGTTTCTCATGTCACACAGCACCCTCTTCTGCGGCCAGATGATGGGCTCTGGCTCCGGCTCCTCTTCTTGCTCCACACTCTGACTGCTACTCTGACTGCTCTCCTTCCGACTGAAGCACCTGCTGGGCGGGCTCTGTTCAGCCGGCTCCTCGACATCGATCCGCAGGCTCTCCTGGTCCCGGATCTCCTCCTCGATCTCCTCCTCCAGCTGGATCAACATGGGGGCCAACATGCCGAACTTGGCCCCGCGTCGCGCCACCTCGAGCAGACACAGAACAAAATTCTTCTCGTTGCATCTCTCCACCAGGTCGTTGGTCTCAAACATGAGGACGTCCTTGATCCAGAGCTCCTGCCTGCACCAGCTGATGAAGTTGGACACGTTATCCCGCGCCACAAACGAGCCGGGGACCACATTGCGTGACTGGAAGCCCACATCTTTGGACGGCAGCTTCATGGAGTGAGCAGCCTCCGGGCACTCCAGCTGGAAGTCCTGCACGGCGCGGTTCACGTTGTTGGCGTGCCGACACAGAGCACAGCCGGTCCCCAGCCCCTCCATGAAGGAGTCCGCATAGATATCCAGGTCGTAGAGGGTGTTCAGCCATTCCGCCAGATCCTCCTTCATGGCGTACAGGTACTCCTCGCTGGATTTAAAAGGCCGGATACTCTTGGAGGCGGCCGACTGGATGTTGCTCTGATCAGCCATATTGTCGAATTACGCAGCCTATCAATAAAGTCTACTTGACAATTCCCGATTGTCTCATTGCACAGCTCCAACGCCTTCATTCGCAAATATAGCGAATTAACCGTGTTGACTCACCCATGCCGATTTGCATGTGTGGTTTATTATGGGAGCTCCTTGGACCCAGGCTTTGTGTTGTCAGAGGCATATCGGGATGCGGACTAGCCGTGGCGCATGGATGCGTTTTACGGATGTCTCTGCGAAACCCGTTTCCTTTAAAGAGCGCATCGCCGGGTCCCGGGACGCCGATACACACCCATGCCGACCTGTTAATCCTCCCGCTGAACGGAGGCTCCTCTCACTCGCAGAAATCCACGTGTCACCAAGTCTGTGTGTGAGGCGGTCAGAGAGCTCCTCTTCGATGAAATCACGGAGCAGCACTGAGTCCACAGCTCATCTTCCCAGCAAATGGGCCCGCCTCTTGCGCTGAATATGTTGACCTGCTGTAGCTTAGACCAGCAGAGCGACTCGGTGGCACATCCCATTAAGAGGGATCAACGCTCGACAGAGGAAACTTAACCCCATGTTTCCCAAGTCAGGAAACACTGTGTAAACGGGGATAGAAGCAGGATACCTTATATAGCTACTTGAGTGAATCTATAGCAGAGCTGGGAGAAGTACTCTTGTACTTGAGTGTAGGAATGTGTTATAATACATGTCCTGCAATCAAATGTTACTCAAGTAAAAGTAGCTACCAAGGTATCAGCATTTTAGTAAAAGTACTCATTAAGCATATTGTCCCCAATTCAGAACAATATATTAAATGCTTTGATTATAATAATACTCCAGTTGTAACTAAAGTCTTATTTAAGTGTTGATTATATTTCACATCATTAAACACAATCTGCCAAATAACTAAAAGTATTTGATCAATGTAATGGAGTAAGAATACACTTTTTTTGGTGTAGAAGCCCTGCTGAAAAAAACAGTTTAGATCAATTTAGCTGGTCAGGCTGGTTTGCTAGTATAGCAAGACCAGCCTGGCCAGCATTTCCAGCCTGGTAAACCAACTAAACCAGCCTAACACCAGCTAAAACCAGCAACCATATTAAACTGGGCTATGCTGATATTTTCAGCAGGAAGTACAAAGTAGCAACAAATTGAAAAAAGTGTCAAAATTGTGCCAAAATACAGTACTTGAGTAAATCTACTAGTTACTTTACACCACTGCAGACTCATTTATACTGCTGAGTTCATCTATAACAATACAGTTGTTTTATTTGTTCAACATGTGTCTGAATCTGCAGAGTTACAAGTGTCAAATGAATGTAGAAGAGCACTTTTAGTAGAGCACAATACTGTCAGGGGTATTCATTTATTCAACCTCATGGTCGTTTTTCATTCATGGGTTCATCTTGCTGTTGCACCGGATTTTAAGGCTTTTTTCCTAAGTAAGAATATATACTTGTTATCAGTTTTTATTCCGAATAACACAAACACAGGCTTCATAGTCTCAATAATGATGTCTCTGTGTGAAGTGCTAAAGGCCAATAAAGCTTGGCATCATGAGACCAACTCTGATTAGTGCAAGAATTACCCTTCAAACGGTATCATCTGAACAATGATTAAAGCAGATCTGATAGTTACAACCTTGTCTAAAACTATAGGTTTCATAAAGAATGTGTGATTAGTCGTTTTAAGAAGGCACGGCACAAACAGAGCTGGTAAACCCTGAAACAGCAGGAGGTTGGGGATTATAAAGAGAGATAGTGAGAGATATACAGTAGACAGACAGCATTATCCAGTCAACATTTAAGTAGGCTGTACAAAGAGCACAAGACAAAGTAGTTAATTCAATAGCACATGATCTTCTGTGTGATAGAAAACGTGTCACATACTGGTCCAGATAACAGAGCTGCTGTTAGTGCTAATACTGTTCAATCAGGGAAAGATTGATCTGATTATCTATTAAAAAGACAGAACAAGAATGCAAGAATGACCATGACTTTTCTAAATATTGCCTATACTAATGCAGGATGCAGGAATCCTGAAGTCAAATGTAATACCTTTTAAGACCTTTTTTAAGACCTCATCGCCACTTGGAGTTTTAACCGGTTACATTGGCGACACACTTTACCTCACATTATACAGTATTGATTGTCCTTCCTCCTTATCTTCCAACCATTTGGACGCAGACTTGCATTCCCCATAACGATGTTGTTTAACAACCGGCGTAAACGAACCTTCGCGCGCTATCAAGCAGTGAGCGTGCGATGTCCTGTTCAGATGACGTCAAACCCAACGGGATGCCATCAATAAACTACACAGAATCACACTACACACCTACGCAATGATTACACTCAGGCAGACTGTAGAATACAACCTCTTTGGACAATTTATATACTTATTGAAAACAAGCTACAAAATGGAATACCTTGGAAAATGCCGTTTAATATATTTTTTAATAGCCTTAATATTGATACAATTGATTTATCAACTTTTAATACTTTTTAAGACCCTGCGGACACCCTGTAATGGTTTAAAGCTCAGTTTAGGGTTGGAAACGGGGGTCGAACTTGGGTGAAAGAGACCTGCTTTTCAGGTTTTAATGGTATGTTAACATTTTGAAAAACAGAAAGAAACTTGCCCTGGTCTCAAGACAGTATGTTATCTGCGTGTAAACCTTAGCACATGATTAGACTATGTATTCTGGGGGTTATTTTTATTACAAACTAAGTTAAAGGTTTTCTGATGCTGTTTCAAACTTGGCCATAATGTAATTACAATCGTCTATGTGCCCTTATTTTGAGCAGTTGGGACACACAGAAACCCTTATTTTCATCTTGAGTTAAACTCTTGAACTCTATGTAAATAACCCTGGAGTTCATATGTTTTTAAACTGGTCCTTTAAAAGTCTCATTTCCCCTTTAACAATCTATTTGAGAAGCTCACGTTCGCTCCTAATGTGTGATTGTTTGAATTTTAGCGAAGCCCACTGCCAAGAAGGAGGGCTTGTTTTCATTTAAAAAAGAGGAATGTGTCTGTTTAAGAGAGGGAGAGAGAAAGAAAGGAAGGGAGGGGGGGGGGGTGGAAAAGAGATAGAGAAAAAAGAGGGAGAAGAGAGGCAGGGAGGGAGAAGGTGGGGGTTGATGACATCATTTTCTGGGGCTGAATGAATCAGCTTTTCTGTCAGTAAAGAGAGAGAGAATTCGGCACTATTAATCCACACGAACAACGGGCCTCAGCAAATGAGAAGCACTTTAAGATGTCAGCTGTGACAGTTTCCCACAATTAAGAGGGCTGTACAAAAATAACACCCAATAAACATGAGCCTTATTGTATCATGTCAATAACAACATTATGTAAAACCACTTGTGATTTACAAGCAAGAGGGTTTGGTTAGAAAATGACCCAACGGCTATTTATAATGAAGGAAAAAGTTGTTCTATAACTTTAAATGCTAAAAATACTGCAAGATACTTTCTCACAGGATTATTTTAAGAGAATCCTACAAGCAGGGTTATCCAGTGGTTACATAGGTGTATGAAAAGAAAACAAAGAGCTGTAGGATGGCTTTAACCGTCATGTTTCCCAGATGTTAAAAATATGCTCCCAAGATTTACATCTGTGATTAATAACAGCGTTCAATTCAATTTCCTTATAAGGGATACTGCTCTAAATACACTAATGAGACCCAAACCTGGCTACAGAAAAAAACATTCAAGGCATTTTTCATGGTTCAAAGCTGTTGCTAGCATGAGTTATGACTTAAGTGCAGTACGGTCATTGGAGGAAGCAAACATGTACTGACAGTTACTTAAAGCAGAAAGCAAAGACTCATTCAGAAAAGGGTTTCTGGTGGGACCAAGGAGACAGTGTCATTGATTTGAGGTAACAGGACCCAGGCTCCAACAATGTCATGAGTCACAACTGCAGCAGTTCAGACTGAAACCTTAGTGCTGGCCCCTGCTGGCAGGAAGAGAAACAGCTGCAGTGCAGCCCCTTCCAGACATGCAGATAATCTACAGAAATGAGAAGTAGTTTCTAAAAGAACTATACTTGTAAAATGCCAGATAGTGAAAGCACTGGAAAACAACATCTTATAATATATAACCTTATATATTTGTTCTTCAGGGTTTGTATTTAAATTGCTGAAATGTCACGGGTTACTTGACCAAGGCATGTACATAGCCTTGCAAGTGGATTTTATTGAGGCAACCTAAAATCGTCCCAGATAAATAGAAACATTTTGATTATCTGAAAGTCACGGGTCAGAGGAATCTGACTTCTGCGTTGGAACGAATCGCATTCAGTCATGTGACTGCTTTTTGCAATATCTCAAAATCATAAAAACTTTGATCGGCAACTCCTACACACCATCTTCAGTATCTGTTCATTTTTAAAAGATCTTCCTGCAAAACGTGTTTTACATCTTGTAAAGTTGAGTAAAGCCCACAACTCAAAACATGAAATTGGTAAAATTTTATTTCCCAAATTTGTCATAATACAATTGCCAGTTATGGGAAAGGGGAAGCAATTATTTCGGACGAATGAAAAACAGCATTTTACTACACAATGTCAAATCTAAAGGGCATATTAAAAAAAAGCAAAAAAACAAAAACATGCACGGAACAATATGTGGCATAAAATGGGTAAACTAAAAATAAAAAAGTGGAAACAGGAGTTGAATAAAACTGCACAGGTTTTATGAAAAGCAGTTATTTAACCATTAAAATATGGAATCATAAATAAAAAAAACTTCGACAGGAGGAACAGTCAAGACGTTTTTCTTCAGTAGGGCCGCTCTCTGCGCTCCTGGCGATGGTCCCTAAAAACAACAGAGAAAGTGAGGGTGAGTTGTGTGTTCGCACCAATATTACACTCAGTTAGCATTCATTGGGCTGGAACTACACTATGGGAAGAGCAATACATCGGTTTGGTTGAGGAACTTCAAACCTACCTCATATCCATCTTTCCGCCTGGTGGGCCACCCATTCCTCGTCCTCTGCCCCGATCCATCCGGTCCATGGGGGGTCCTCCACGCCCCGCCCCACGGAAACCTCCCCGATCCATCCCCCCTCGTCCTCTGAATCCCCCACGGTCGCCTCCCCAACCTCCACGGAAACCGCCGGGACCTCCAGCTCCTGCGGGCCCTCCGCGGTCCATCCCTCGGCCGCCACGCATGCCCATCCCACCTCTGCCTCTGTCACCGCCGGGGGGGAATGGAGGGCCACCGCCGCCGCCACCACCACCACCACCACCACCGCCGCCACCACCCATCCCTTCTGGCTTGGGCGCTTTGCATTGGTTACATTCCATCCGCCAGGCAAAGTTCTGGTTTCCGCAACCGCTAGAAACACAAACCATCAAATACATTACAAACTAATCTTTGGTACAAAAAAGGCACCCGAGATGAGACTGCACCATGAGGGAATACGTACGGGTTTGGACACTCCCAGTCTCCAGCTCTCTGCTGCATGTTCCCTCCGGTGGGTCCCCCTCTGCCCATACCACGAGGACCGCCACGGGGCATGAACCCACCACGGTCTCCTCCGCGGCCCATCATGCCTGAGAAGAAGATTCACCATTTAATTTTAAAATCATATGAACCCATTTCTGTTATTTCTTTATATTTTTATGACTAATGACAAATTCCCACAGAAGGACAGCTTTTCTATGCGGCAGGATTCAATTGACAGCCCTAGTGTCAACATGCCCTCAAAAACGCCAAACACTAACACACACTTCTGACACTTACCTCCACGACCCATCATGCCGTCTCTCATGGGCATGCCACCCCTCATACCACCCATCATGGGCTTACGGCGCGCCATGGACACCTTGAGCCTGCGGCCTTGGAACTCCTTTCCTACAATTTAAGATAAAGTAATTTAGACACAAGTATTCATTTATTATGTCCAGGTTGATAAAACATACCAGGGTTGATCAAACATACCATCAAAATGCTCCACAGCTGCTTTGGCACAGGATGGCTCCTCATAGGACAGGGTGGCGTCTCCTTTGGGCTTCCCTGAGTCCTTGTCGGTGTAAATGTTAATGGCAGGCTGGCCAAGTCTGCGGTTAATCTGAACAAACGGAGAAAATGTATTGAATTTAGTAAGCACATTAGTTTAGCCAACAGCAAGACTTAGTAAGTGAAGAACGCTTCTTACCCTGATTGGGCCAACATGTTTGAAGAACTCGGCCATCTCCTCCAGGACAGCCTTCTCGGTCAATCCTGTGATGTAGATCGTGCTGTTCTCAGAGTCATCCTGCTCCTCAGGGCGTCCTACACATAGAAAATGAAAACATTGAGTAAAAGTAATACCTCTTCTACTTCAAGACGTGGTATTCAGAATATAAGAATGTATTAAGGATCTAGTGAAACTCACCCGTTTCACGCTCGTCACTCATTGGTCCTGTAGTTCATCAGTTGCGGAAGAGAGAGACAAGAGGGAAAAGTCAGTGTGTGAATCTGAAGCTCAGTGTACAACACCTGAGGAGCACTACAGCAGATTACCCAGACACTCCCTTATAAACGCTGCCAGCCATACTGGGAAGTTGCAAATGGCACCTTATGGTACACCACAAATCCCTCAAGTGGTAAATTGAAAAAAAGAACCTCATACCCTTTGTCAGTTAAGCGTGTCATTTGAAAAGCCTAATAAGACCAGTAAGAAATCCCTCAAAAAAAAAACCAGGAAATCGACTCATGTGATTTGTTAAAAGCAGTAACACATATTTGAGTGGAATTTTTTCCATTAACCTGTCAAAAACTCTTTGTCAAACTGTAAGCAGTGACTGATATAATACCAAGTACCCCAGTGAAAATGGTCTCAGGCAATGAAAAACAAATACCAAATATTTTCAGATGTGTTGGTGTAAATCAATTTGTATACCACAATGTAAGACACATCAATACTCGGTGCATTTTTGATCAAAAAGTTTATGGCTTTGAAAGGTCTAACCAGTGTAATACGCGTTAACTTACCACCGGGCTTACTGAAGCCACCTCTGTCTCCAGCGCTGCTAGGGGAATAAATGGAGATATGAAGGCGACTTCCCTTTTACAGCCACTTCCATGGCTCGAGCAAAGTGGCTTGATTGAGGGAGTAATCAAAACATGCTAACTAACCCAACAGCAACTAAAAAACTCCCCGAAATTACAAATACACAAATGAATCGAGAGGATAAGAAAATTAACTATGTGTCATTAGTTAGCTAGCTGAGAACAACTTGACAGTTTAGTTGTGGATACATTTGTGCAAAAAATATGAATAAACATTTACTGCCTTTTATCAAATGTGACAAACCAAACATTTGTACACAGGTAGACAATATTTCAGATGCATTGATGGCATAAAAAGATGTACCCAGAAACAAAACACTCAGATAACATTATTTCTTATAAAAAGTTACATCTGACTGATTTGTATAAGTGTATCAAATTGACACAATGCATCTGAAATTTCACAAGATACAAGGTGATCATATTCACCAGGTAACAAAGCAAATAAAATACAATTATACAAGAAAGAAAAACTCCAACAAATAAAAAACAAAGACGGTCAGGTGAAAAACGCCACCATGCTTATAAAAACGCCACCATCCTGAGTTCTTGAAAAAAGGCAGACCCCGAATCTTTGTTTTAGCTCCCTCCTGCCGTTTAAGCTGGCGGTCTGTACAGAACACACTTTTTAGAGAATGGGTGGTTTTAAATGGCTCTCACTGTTACCTGTACGGTATAAATGTGACAAAGCATGTTAAAAAGTGTTCAAAGGAATGTGATCAAACATTTGTATTCCAAACCACAAAAACAATTTCAAACATTTCAAAATGACAAAATGTGCCCACACCCCCCCCAGAACATGAATATACCTGTGCAAAGCTAACGTAAAAATGGAACTATGAACTCATCTAAATGTTAAAATGTATTTAGGGCTGTAATCCTATTTATGAAATGTGTTGAGCTATTTTTTTTTTTTATTAAGTCTACTTTGCAGAGTTTTCTGATTAAGAGACCCGGACCCTATAAAATAACCTGAGAAGTGTAAAAACGTTGTCTGTGTGCAAATGTGTATTAGCTGGGCCAAAACCAGAATATAGAAAGTCATGCAGAACCCTATACTTTAGAAAGGAGTACCAGAAGGTACATAGGTCATTTTGTATCGACACCTGCAAAAACCACCGATTATTCTCATGCCTTGGTCCGACCTTTTATGTTTTGAAAAAGTTTCCCCTAAAAAAAATGTAACTTGTCATAATGAGGATTGCTCTGATATTTTGGGAACACAATAATGTAGCTTTTAATTTTTTCACCTTACAAAACTGATAACCAATCCAAACCAACACATGTAGACTCTAGCCTCCGTACATTAACACCCTTGTCCTCTCTTTGAAATCCTTTGAACTCTTTTTCAGGGGGTCTTGATTTTTCAGAGTTCAGGTTGGGTTCACAGCTACTGAGAATAACAGTCAAAGTGAAACAAATTGTTCCAAGGCCTAATCCACCTCAAGAGCAAATTGAAGTGCCAATGTGTCCAAGACCAACTAAATGTAGTTCTAAATGTCACCGTCTTGAGGGATACACCCCTTTGTGCGACACCGTCTTGAGGGATACACCCCTTTGTGCGACACTGCCTTGAGGGATACACCCCTTTGTGCGACACCGTCTTGAGGGATACACCCCTTTGTGTGACACTGCCTTGAGGGATACACCCCTTTGTGTGACACTGCCTTGAGGGATACACCCCTTTGTGCGACACTGCCTTGAGGGATACACCCCTTTGTGCGACACTGCCTTGAGGGATACACCCCTTTGTGCGACACCGTCTTGAGGGATACACCCCTTTGTGCGACACTGCCTTGAGGGATACACCCCTTTGTGCGACACCGTCTTGAGGGATACACCCCTTTGTGCGACACTGCCTTGAGTGATACACCCCTTTGTGCGAGACCGTCTTGAGGGATACACCCCTTTGTGCGACACCGTCTTGAGGGATACACCCCTTTGTGCGACACCGTCTTGAGGGATACACCCCTTTGTGCGACACTGCCTTGAGGGATACACCCCTTTGTGCGACACCGTCTTGAGGGATACACCCCTTTGTGCGACACCGTCTTGAGGGATACACACCTTTGTGCGACACCGTCTTGAGGGATACACCCCTTTGTGCGACACCATCTTGAGGGATACACCCCTTTGTGCGACACCATCTTGAGGGATACACCCCTTTGTGCGATGCAAAAAAAAAGTACATGACACCTGGACCGCAGTTCTTTAGATCAGACTGGACCACACTACACCAGCACTCCATTGATTGACTGTATCCACACAAAGACAGTGGACAAATAAAGTACATCTGTATAAACAGCTTTGGTAAGCATTGCGTTTCCCCTCTCTTGTAACATCACTAGACTAGTTTTATTCCTCCAGATGTGTAAGGAGGTGTGACACTTCAACTTTATGAATGAGGTAGAAGATTGTAGCAATTGTTTTTACCTCAATGCAAATGTAAAGTTATCACTGATGACATTTTAGCATAAATGGATATTGAGAAGTGGACCACAAAAACATTTTAAGAGATTCAGGAACTTTAGCATCAACTGATAAATACCTATCTTTTATGACCAGTGTTGGAGCTACATGCTGAAAATTCATTTAGAAAACGTTTTCTTAATTTTAGTTCTCTTTTTAGGGTGCAATCTATGACTGCATTAGCAGTTTTGACTTGTGTATGGTTCACAGATCCAATCTCTCTGTATTCCTTTATCGACCCAGTCAATTGAGTTGAAATGCTTATTGCCAGCCTTGCAAAACCCAACCATAAGCGTACAACACCAGCAAATGTATTTGTAAATGAAAAGGGAAAAACCTTAGACAGGAGGCATATTCACCCAAATAGCACTTTTAAATGCAACCGAACATACTGCATGAGGCCCATGTTTATTTGTAACTCCTTAAAATAAATGTTATGCAACGGCATTGCAGTCACAGTAATTGGGGGTGGCGGGAGTACCTATATCTTTAAAGATATATTTGGGGTGGGGGGCTGGTACCATGAGCAATGCCTTTTCCAGGAACAACCTTGCATTCTTTTTGTAGCATGTGTGAGTGTGTCCGTCTTTAGGGTACAACGCACCCTCGTGTGAAACTGGTTTAAATGGGGCTGATAGTGAGAAGTGTTTAATTTGTTCGTAAAAGGAAATCCATTAGAATATTGATAAGGTGAGTGTGAATAAGATGAAATGTTTTGTATATGGTTCTATCACATTCCCTGACCAATAATCAAATATGCGACTTTTAAATTATCCTAAAAACGTTATTGGATCATAATCTAATGACTATGATATACGCTGCTCCAACTAAATGTTTATGCACAGGTTTCACATTTAAACTAGATTTAAATAAAAGGCCAACCTTTTTCTTACCTTTGAATTAGTTAGAGACAGGGCTGAGAGATACCGAATGAGCAAAGCTACAATTACAGTACATGTTAACAAAAATGTCCCAAATTGGGATCAATAAAGTACTGTCTTATCTTAGCATAAACTACAATTCCAATATTTGACCTCAGAAATGAGGAAATCCATGATTTATTATCTTAAACTTCTGGTAAATCATGATTGCCCTTTTTTTTTTATATAAGAGGATACAATTATGTGCAAATTATACTAGATTAAATCAAATGGGACAGGCATTGTCTCAACCCTGCCCTAATTGGCCACTGGACCTGTAGAAACAAAATATAATTTGAAGTTAGGTGCTAATGAGAGACACTTACCCCATGCCTCCACGACCCATGCCTCCACGCCCACGATGCATCATTCCACCTCGATCAAAGCCATCCCTGCTTGGGCCCCGTTCCCCTGACCCTGGGTACCTCGAAGACTCAGAGCCAGAGTAACTAGAACTTCCACTCTGGCCCTCCTGTCTGTAGTTATCTACAAAAAAAGGAACAGGAATGCATCAAACTGTGTTCAAGGACATTCAACTGAACTGAAGATTTGACAACCACAGCCAAAGCAGAGCTTACTGTAATGGTTAGACTGGTTATAACTGGGAGGTCCACCTTGCTGGCTGTACTGGTTGGCTGGGGGCTGGCCGTAGGAACCCGAAGTCTGGGGAGGGTAAGCAGGAGGAGCTTGCTGCTGCGGGGTCTGCTGCTGGTAGCCGGCCTGCTGCTGGCCGTAGCTCGCCTGCTGGGCCTGGTAGCCTGCCTGCTGCTGCCCATATGCTGCGGGCGTGGAGTAGCTACTTTGGTTGTAACTGGCAGGCTGGCTGCTAGCATTGTAACTGATAGACAAACAAAGACAGAGCATTCATTGAAATCATGAGTATGTTCGTGTGGAATTTGCTTTTTAAATGGGTTCCCAGTCGAGGGGTACATACCTCTGTGGTGCAGTGGGAGCAGCCTGCTGGCCATAACCAGGGTAGGCAGACTGGGCAGTATACCCTGGCTGAGAGCCGTAAGACTGGGAGGCAGCAGGGGCAGCAGCCGCTGGAGTACTGTCATAACCACTGGCTCCATAACCCTGGGTTGACTGGGAGTATGTGTGTGTGGTAGACTGGGCAGCAGGATACCCAGCTGTGGGGACAGAAATAGTAAAAACCAAAGGTGATTTCATTGCATGTTTGAAGGCATTACATACATACATAAAGGGGTTAGTCAACTGAAATTTAACAAGTTTGTAAAAACTGATTTGGGCAGCCAGACTGAAGGACATCTGTTTTGACTTGCATTTAATGACTTGCAATGTAGTCTTCTGATGGGCAGACAAGTCGAAATTATTGAAGTAAAATTAGTCAAATGCTCCTATTTTAACAACTGACCTGAAGCAGGCTGGGCATATGAAGACCCATACTGTGTCTGCTGTTGCTGAGTGTAGCCTGCAGCAGCAGCAGGGGTTGTCTGGGTGTAGCTGGCATCAGCAGCCGCAGGTTGGGCATAGGATCCATAACCCTGTTGACCATAGCTCTGCTGAAAAACAATAGTATTACATGTTAAAGAATTAAAAAAATATGTATTATTTAATTCCCAAATATTGCAAGCTATGATTAATATTGGTATATTAAATTAAAATCAATAGTCCCTTTAAATAATCTAAAATGAAACATTGCCATCACAGTAAATCAGTAGCCCTGCACAAAGAAAAAAAACAGGCTCGGCTGTTGAATCTCACCTGAGCAGACTGTCCATAGCTCTGAGAGGGCTGGGCAGCATAAGAGGCATATCTATAAAACACAAACACGGTTATAGAATCCCATTCACCTGTTGGATGAGCACTATTTTTTCTCTTTTTCTGAAATTATATTCGCAGCAATACACCCACTTGTTTCTAGTGATACACCTGGTAAGAGATAGCACTTTTTTGAATGACTTTGTACGCTGCAGTGTAGCTTTTGGTGTAAGTGTTGATTACATTTCATATCATTAGTCCAAATCTGTAAAGTAACTAAAAAAGGTATAACATATATGTCGTGGAGTAAAAGTAAACCATGTGTACCAATTGTAGTGGGGTAGAAGTACATAGTAGCAAAGTACTCAAGTATTGTGCTTAGCTACTTAACATCACGGCACACAAAAACGCATTTAAAAATATCACATTCATTCACATTAAAGCGTTAATTGAAAACTTACCCCTGCTGTGCAGTGGTCTGGCTGTAGGTGCTGTAATCTGCTAAAGAAACAGATACATGTTGGTTAGTTTAGCCTATAGACAAAACGTTAATTGCGCGCGAGCAGAGATAAGCTAATGCTAGCAGCACGCGACACTGACCCGTTGCTAGGTCGCCATTCATTTACGCAGATGAAACTCGGTCAAACCATTCAATAAAGGACGATGCGTAACAGCTAAATATTGCAACGAGGAGTACTCGGCATATGCATCGAAAATCTATTCGATGAATGTAGTAATCTGGTGTTAATCATCAAGCTAAGAGTGCAGAAACAACAAATGGAAAACACCGCAAGCTAAAATGACTAGGCCTTGTGCAGCTAGCTAAACCCAGACGATATTTCAACTGATATAAGCCGAACAGAATATTAATGCCGGCACATTATGTTTTAAATAACGCAGAACCTCACGATTAGTTAAGTTTAATACCCGCAATTCGTCAAAAAGCTGTATACAAGATCACAATTAGTAACTCACCCGGAGCCGACGCCATTTTAGTGTGCTTGGTTCAAGACGACTGTGAAAACTCTGGCTGCTGGAGAAACGTTCTTCTCTTCGCAGGAAACACGAACTCTCGCGAGATGTATGAGCGTGAACAGACGTCCCTGAATAAACCCCAATACTTTAACGAAACCCTCTCCAGTAGGCTATTTATTGTTTTTTTTAATGACATGAAACTATGGAACATCTATTAAATGTTGCAAAAGGAAAAAATCCCAACAATGTTTTGTTTTCCTTCTCTAAATTTGAATTCATTTATGAACACTGTTGATATGTGCCTTTTTCTGGATTGGTAAATAAAGTTGAAAAAAAAACTTGTAGTATATTTTGATTCAATCACTTTTCTACTTTTACTTGAGTAACATTTTGCAGGACTTTTCACATTTTCCTACAGTATTCCCACACCATGTTACTTCTACTTTGATTAAAGTACCAGATCTGAGTACTTCTCCCACCTCTGATAATACCTAAAAAGCACCAGGAGCAAAGTGACATCTTCAAATAGCTGTTTTGTCTGACCAACAGTCCAATACAGTTATCAATATAATCATACAAATACACATTTTCCAGAAGAAGTTCGAAATCAAAGAATGGTTGAGAAACAAACAGACGTGCAATCCTCGCTAAATGCACTTGGCTCTCTCAATACAAACATCCTCCCCTCTGTCATGAACCTTGGAGTGACCTTCACTATAGCACTTTTAAATTCGACAAGCAGGTCAGCACCGTAGTCAAATCCTGCTTTTTTTAAATGAGACTATTGGCCAAAACCAAGTCGTATTTATATTTTAAAGACTTAGAAAGGGTTATTAATGCCTTTGTTACCTCAAGACTGGATTATTGCAACGCTCTATGGGTATGGACCAGGCCTCAATTAAACGCCTGCAGCTAGTCCAAAAGGCAGCTGCGCGTCTTCTCACTGGCCACAAAAAGCGTGACCACATCACCCCAATTCTGGCCTCACTACACTGGCTTCCAATTCGGTTCCGAATTGATTTTAAAATCCTTGTATTTGTTTTTTAAGCACTAAATGGGCTGGCTCCTGCCTATATAGCCGAACTCCTACATGCTAAACCCCAGCCAGAGCTTTAAGGTCGGCTGACCAGCTGCTGCTGATACACTGTAAAAATAAATAGGGTGTTTTAACTTATAAACATAAGTTCAAGGGCTGCCTCATATATATGAGTTGACTTAAAGTACAAATGTACTTTAAGTCAACTCACAATTTTAAGTAGTACAAGTTATTTTACTAATGATCATTCATTGTTATAACTTAATACTGTGAGTTAAAGAAACTCACACTTTTACATTATAGGTTCAAGAAATGTTCATTATCTAGTCAAATCAACTTTAACTTCTACCTTATCTTAACTCACAGCTCTAAGTTAGGATAACTTTAACTATATTTATACCGACTGACAAATTCAAGTTATGTTGACTCATGTTTTCAAGCAATTGAACTTACATTTTCATGTTAAGTAAACTAGTGTTTTCTATTTCTAACTCTTATTATAATGACAAGTTCCCCAGCTTCCTTAAACTTCTTACCGACTGAACTTAGAACATTAAACATCACCCACATGCATATAAAAGGAGATCAAGGCTTGAAGTTACTTCAGATACTGAAATATTTTAATTTTTCAAGTATATATATATATATATATATATACACACACACACACACACAACAAACATACACATTATAAAATCTAATATATGTACAATATATTAATTTGACTAATAGGACAGAGGGTGCAGTGCAAACGGTACGAAACAAAGAGCTTTTTGAACATTAAGTTCTTTCTATACATCAGCAGGAGAGGACTCTTTCAACAATGTCCTCTTAAAATCCAAGTTTCTTCGTGACATTTCAAACATTAATGGAATTCTCACTAACCTAAAACATTTTTATTTTTTAAAAACATGTCACTGTAGAGGCAAAAATAACATACAAATGAAGAACACCAAATTGAACTGTACACTGTTTGACGATCTACCTCCTAGCTAGTTTGTTTTTTAGGCTTGGTCTGGCTGTATCTTCAGGACAACCCTCTGGAGGAACTCAAAGGAAAACTTCATTTCCAGAGGATACTGAAGATTCAAGCAATAAATCAGTCCAAGAAGCATTGCAAAGCCGCAAGCCACATCCTTCAGGTTGTGGAACACGATGGTCTCCTCGACCACAACTGCCACGTTGAAGATCTGCTGAGGAAAGGCATCCCGTTCACCTTCGTAGCCTATCAGTAGACCAACTTGCATCCCCTTCATGGCTTCCTCAAGAGTGTCTCCATGAGCCTTAAAAAAGGAGAAATAAAAGTGAGCTCAGTGTATTACAAGTACTTTTTTATCTACAAAGCTAATTAAGAGGCCTCTGCTATAAACATAGAAGCTAAAATCTACAGTTCAGTGTTAAAGTGCAATGTGATGGAACATCATTTCAATTGCCTCATTGCCTCCCTTTTCACAGTTTGAGTTATATATTTATTTATATTATTTAATAGTTAAACATTTATTTTCTTGCTGTTTTTGTTTATATTAAATGTATCATTCTTTATTGCAATTATCTTAGTTAAATTAAGGTAATTGTAAACATTACTTTTGAAGGAAACTTTGGGCACAGGGTGATTTATGTTAAAATGTACAATTACATAAAGTAATTAAAGACAATTATGATCTTACATCACACATCCTGATGACATTTGCCTGATTTTTGCCAGACAAGTAGTGCGATAGTCCCAAGAGAGCAGCAGTCCTCCTCCTCTCATTTGTGTTCTGCAGGACAACAAATGCAGTGGGATATAAACATTTGTAGCAAACAAATGGTGGCTAAATTATGGTCATCAGCATCTCCACTTACATCTTTCTCAAGGCAGTCCAAAATGCCTTTTAGTGCCGGTTTCTTTCCCGTCCTGGATGCACCTTTGTAGACCTCCAGCAATGTTGGGGCCAGGCCATCAAGTCCATCCAGAAACGATGACAGCAGGTCCATAGTGACAATTCTCTTGAACTCTGCCTGAATCTGAGGAGACACAGACATATAGAAAATATTCTACCAACAGTCTCCAAGATGCATGCATGTGCAACTGTGCATTTTCTTGCAATAAAAACATGGCATATGCTGGTGACAAGAGAACCCAATCTTAAGTATAGTCGTGTTTTAAATGTTAAGTGCAACGTAGAACTTGATTCAAAATGATATACCCGTCTTTAACATGCAAAAGGATGTGTTTTTGAATAGAGTTTTTAACAATTGACTCGAATCTACAATAATATTGATAAACGTGATAATTTTGTCTCTCTACATGCTTGATTTAAAGTTTTCAAATTTCACATGATTGAATAAGACCGATAAAATATATGAAATAAGATGCTTTATAGTTTGAATTTACAATTGTATGACTGATTACCTGTCTCTCACTGAACAGAGCTGGCCATCTGGACTTTAGTTCTGTGATCAGTGGCTGATCTCCAACATCTCTCTCCGAAGCTGAGAAAAGGTATCAGTCATCAATGCCTCAATGAATTGGTGATCAGGGTCTTTTTTGGGCATTTCCATCTCCATTTGTTGACGCTTCTCTTCCATGTCATCACTGCTCAATCCTTCAGGGAGATCTGGACAATAGTTGACCTCACCCTTCTTTGACTTTTTAAGACGACTGTATGTATCCAAGTTTTAACAATTGCCTTCTCATTGTAACTGGAAAACCTGCACAACTTACAAGTCTACTTCATCCAGTTGCAGCAAAACGGAAATCTTCAAAAATCTGTACCTGTAATAGAGAACACACATTTAGGTACATTTTCTATAAAATATTTTCTAAAAAGCAGAAATACAAATGTGTCCATTTCAAGAGTGGAACATAGCATTCGTACACAATATAAAATGCTATTTCTGAACACAATTAGCATTTGACTCGTTCAACGGCGCGAGGCACCCCCTCCATATCTGGGCAGGTTTAGCGTGAGCTGAACCAGAAAAACGTTGTAATGATAGAATCACTTTAACACTTGCTCGGCTTTAACAAAAAACAATCTTCAAGTCCCCTATACTTATCCACAAATGACTTCCATTTCAAAGCCGTGGCCCAGCTACTAGAACATAGCAGGGGCTAACAAGCTACAATTGTTAGCTTAACAGAGAGCCGGGACACGGCTAATTACTGGCAGGAACACACACAACCTCTCTGAAACGCGCTAATTTAGCTTCAATATTTAGCCGTAGCCTACAGCGAGCCGGGACACGGCTAATTACTGGCAGGAACACACACATATAAACTCCCAGAAACGCGCAAATGTAGCTTTAATATTTGACCGAACAGAGAGCCAAGACATGACTAACACACACCACCTCACCGAAACACGTTAATTTAGCTTAAATATTTAGCCAAACAGAGCTGGGACATGGCTAATTACTGAAACGAACAAACAAAACCTCGCTAAATTAAGCTACAAACATAGGCAGTTTCCATTCAAACCTTTTAAAAAAAACACAAGCGTCATAAATAAGAGTAAGAATGCTTGAAACGTATTTATTTAATACAAGTTTAGATAATCATAATCCTGTAATGTTAGCTTGGTAAACTGACATTTTCACAACACTCTGCCCTGAAATAAAATCGCTTTATAAACATTCAAACACCAGTTAGGTGTTGATTTAACTCCATTTAGCTACTTTTCGTTTTGCCTGAAACCATTAAACATGCAACACTCACCTCACTTTGCCTGAAACCATTAAACATGCAACACTCACCTCACTTTGCCTGTCCATCAGTGGTTCATCAGCCGATAAGATCTGCGTATACCCGGTACGCTGTTCATGTTCATGTTCAATCATGTTCACTCACTGTCACATCGCTTTACAAAAACATATTCATCCGCCGCTTAGCTTTTCGTAGTCATCAATCTGTCCGGTTGAAGTTCTTCTTTTGATAATGGCTAATTGAACTCGGTATATACTTGCTGTATATCGTAAAAAAAATAAAAAAACTCATGTCCCTGTTAAATGCCTTCAATGAATGAAAACAACTATGAGACCGGGACTATTTTCACCGGGCAGGAATATGTCATCACTACTGCCATGTTAAGAGGCCATAGAAAGTTCCAGAACATTACACATCACAACTCACACTGTTAAGTCAAATTGACTTCATAGAATGTAGAGGTCATTGAACTGGCTTACAGAACTGAGTTGAAATAATTACAACTTGTGAAATTAAGTAGAAATTGAATAAATTGATATATTAAGTGGAAGTAACTTACAGACAAAAGTTAAAATAACTTAATGATCAAATCCTTTTTTACAGTGTAGTGCCCAAGCAGGCTCAAAACCCGAGGGCACCGAGCCTTCGCAGCAGCTGGCCCTATAGGCTCTGGAACACTCTGCCCCTCCATGTGAGGTCAGCCCAGACCCTAGTTTTTTTTTTTAAATCTACTCTTAAGACACACTTCTTCTCCCTGGCCTTCTAGTCAGAGCGGAGCACGACTCCTGACTTTTCCCTGTGTTTTTTATATCTGTTGTAATTTATTGTCTTTTATTGTGATTGTAGTAATGTGTTTTTATTACATGTACAGCACTTTGGCTCGACCAAAAATCGCTTTTGAATGTGCTTTATAAATACAATTTGATTTGATTTGAGTACAGGGGAATCTCCTCTTGCACTTTATGTAGCTCTTGTATCTTCTCTTGCACTTGTCGTTGCTGCTATATTGTACTGCCATGTGGTAAATACTTGTGTATGCTGCTCTTGCTATTTTTGCATATATGTATTTTGTTTTTGCTATGTTTGTAAAATGTAATTTTCTTAAATGTTTTATGTGAGGGACTGCGGATGTAAATTAGCTTAAAGCTAAATCTGGCACTGTTACGCTTGATACATTTTAATGTTTTAAGTGTTCATCATTGTCCCTGCCAAATAAACGATTAAATACAAATAAATAAGTAATGCATAATATCCAAGATAAATGTACAAACATCTTGCCTAATTTGGGATTTATCATAGGTTGTAGGCTATCTATACATTTCCACAACAGACTGCCAATAATGTTATTATGGAATCAAAAATATTTACATCATAATCAATACATTTTAATATATTGTTTTGCACTACACGAAACGCGAATACTTTTCGAGAATTGTTTTTGAGGAAGAATCGGGAAGAATATATATATTTTCTACATAATTCCTTGCAGTAGGTGGCAGTAATGTGCATTGACTGTCGTTTGTCAACTGCCAGTAAACACAAAGAACAAGAAGACGTGAACTAGTGAGGAAATGGAAATACGTTGAGCTCTTATACTTACATTTTCTTATTTAAATACATTTATTACTAATTTATTATTGAGGACATGGTTATTTTATAACAGCAGTTACACTCGTAGACTCTTTGTACGAATACAGTGAGTGGCAGAGATGATTTGACAAGATAAACAAGGGACTGAATGTAGTCTCATGCTACCACTTTCGATATAGTGATACATAAATGGGCTTTTATGTCTGAAGCTTTTTAGCTGTTCTTTTTATGAGCACAGACCGTGTCAGATTATCAGAATGATGCCACATAAGGACAAGTAATTGGACAAACTACAGCTGAAGGAATGCCTCGTCGTTTGTTGTCAGTATGGTTTTGGTTTGGGTCAGATCGTGGAGGATTCTGTCTGGGAACTTGTCTCCTGACAGCTCTCCTGCTGCTGATGTATGCTGGAGGAATCCAGGCCAGCCTCAGCCTGGGTCCAGGTGGAGAGTTCCCAAGAGTCAGAGGTAACTGTGTTTATCCGATTGCATGGTTTATGCAAATACATATCGTTTACTTCATCTGCATGGTCTTGCAACATAATCTGCACTATTGTATTCTACTATGTTCTACTCTGTTTCTTATTTTATTTTTACAATTGTTTTATTGTCTTATGTCCGATATATAATATGTTGCATTGTTGGAGGAGCTTGGGAGTTAATATCTTGGTTGCTATAACAACTACACTGGAGCTATATGACAATAAAGCCTTTGGATCTTTGAAATATATAGTAACATGTTTAAATTAGAGCTGAAACGATTAATGTTTTTTTAAAATTCCACTCCGGGCAATTATTATAAAACAAAACATGTACACTTTTAGCAATTAGAAAATAATCGGCAGATCAAGAGCTTTGAAAATAATAGTTATTTAACTCAAAGCCAAAATCAAAGCATAGAAAGCAGGATTATGTCCTAACTCCTCTCTCTTCTCCCCAGATGTGTTCCTGTATGCTCTCAGTCACGATGACCTGCCCTCTCTGCTGGTCAGCGTTGCCTTCCTGCTGGTGGTGGGACCATGTCAGGAGCGCCGCTGGGGAACCGTCGCCTTCCTGTCCCTCTCCACCCTCACATCCATCATATCACCTCTTCTCTATACTCTGGTCCTCTGTGTCGGGGGGAGTGAGGCGAGTCGGATCTGCGGTCACTCTGCCATCCAGCTGGCCCTGTTCACAGCGCAGTGTCGTCAGGTGGCTCAGAGGAGGCTGCTCAGGATCCTGCCCGTCTGGTTGCTCCCCTGGCTTCTTCTGCTGATGGGTGTCCTGCTGCTGCCCGGGACCCCCGCCCTGCTGCACTTCTGCACAATATTCATCGGACACAACTGTATCCTTTCCTGTTTGTAAAGTCATCTATGCTTGTACCAAAATATATCCTACTAAGAAACATAGTGTATATGCGGTTTTTCATTAGCCTCAACAAAAGACTGATTGGGGGATGCACAGGCTGTGGTTTAATGCAACCAGTCTCCATTCCCTGTTAGTTTTGTTGAACATGGAGACTACAAGCTATTTACACTTTTTTCATTCTTATTATTACATAGAAATTGACATCATGTTATTCCTAGCATAGCTCTGCCCAACTTCTGTCTGAGCATAGGTCTAATCAGCCACAGTAATTACGAACACCTCCAGCCCATAATCATTTATTTAACATTTCTTTAAAAACGATGACTTTATTCATGGACACCCTTTTGTGTATGCTTTGTTTCAGGCCTTGTGACTGAAAAAATAACCTTCCATTACCCATTGTAAAGGAGTGTTACTTGTGTTTTGAGCTGAAGTGCACAGTCCCCCACCAGATCTATTATGAAGCATATTTCAATATAAAGAACAAAATTGTTTTTTTACAATACTTAATGGACCTCTCAGATCACCAGTCCTTCATCGGGATGCTACAGGAGCTGGAGGAGGCCAGGCTCTTGGATTTAATTCCTGATTGGGCGTATATACGTGCTTCATCCCGGTTGAGATTGCCCATCTACACTACCTCACAGAGGTGTGATAGTTAACATCAAAAGTCTCAGGAAATATTCCCCCTCGCCACATGCATGCAGGGGCAAATGTAATCAATTTGTCTTTATCTGTTGTCACAGCTCTAGATCACATTCTCACATGATGCCTGCAGATCAGGCGGCTGCTCCCCCTGTGAGGGATCCATCTGGTTTTAACCCCCACCCATGGGTGGATCCAGTGCCGGCCTGGATACTGAACGAGTCTGCTGCGCTGTCTGAGGCTGACGTGCTGGAGGATCAGATGCTAAGGGCAGGAATACTTGCCTCATTACAGGATGCTCCCGACAACCCTGATGCTAAAGTGGAAGTGCCCAAATCCTCAGTTTCCTCTCTGCGGTTAGTAATGAAGTCATATCTTTCACAATGATGTAGATAGTTGGACTCACACTTCCAAATGACATGCATATATATTTAACATTCCCATAACTAAACATATCTGTATATATGTAAAACACCCTTATTTTTTATTTATACTGCCACTTTTTTAAACATATTTTTCGTACATATTATCCTTTTATCATATTATAACCCTTATTGCTGTTGCTGCTAAGACACCTGACTTTCCCTATGGGGATCGATAAAGGTCCGTCTTATCTTAATAAATGCCAATTTGCATTTTTGGTGAATATGAAGATATTTCCTCTTAAATGCCTTACATTATTTCCCAGTGATTTTATTTATGTGATTTTAAGTAATCCTTCATTAAAACACCAATGTGTCTCTTCTCTCAGACTCCAGCAGCTGGAGAAGATGGGCTTCCCCACAGAGAAAGCTGTGGTGGCGTTAGCAGCCTCCAAACAGCTAGATGGCGCCATTTCCCTGCTCATTGATGACCGCGTCGGAGAACAGGCCGTGATGGTATCAAAAGGGAAGCAGAGCACTTAATCATTTTTCTCTTGTAGGCCTACACTAAACTAGACGAACAGTATGCTTGGGTTTTGCTGAGCTTGAAGCTTTTTTTCCCTGTGGGCTACTTGTATTACTGACTTAAGGATAACATAGGGGAGGAGTTTTTCTTTTTCCACAACTGTGAATCTAATCATATGAAGATGCAAACAGCTGCTTTGAAGACGATTTCTGAATGCAAATTAAATGTACGTTGATTGAGTGGATGTCATTTATTTATGCTATAATCTCAATAAGTAATGTTGCAACACATAAAAAGAGATGACATGGTTATACAAAAAAATTAACATTATTTTATTACATCAATCACTTAGACAGGATTATCTTAACACAGTAACACATTTTGAAGAAAAGAAATGTAGAGTGAAATATGAAATGGTTACACAACAACATACAAAATAATTGATAATTTTAAATAGTTTCACAATAAGTTTGATATAAGATGAAAAAACAATTATCAAGTTTTTCATCAGGACAGTTTAAGCTGTCAACAGTGGTAAAAAAATATGTTCAAGTTCCATTAACAGTTTTGTTATTTCCTGTGTGTATGTGTAAAATATCTGGAAATGGAGAGCAAGTCTTTTATAGTTATTTTTATATCAACATGTTCCAGAAAACATAATAATGTCTCTGATATGCCACCAAAACCAAATTGTGTTGCTTTTGTTTTTTAGCCTTGAAGGATGTTAATAAACTATTGTTTATTTAATCGTTTAAAGCTGTGTGTACTTGAAGGAGGAGGGGGGGGGGAACACTCACACCAGAAAGCTACAAATCACTGTTGGCAACACATATCTTAGAGTAGAGATGACTTCATATTTTTAGTGCACTACATAACAATATGAGATATAACAAAATGAATACTATAAGAAGAGGTTTGTTTGTACTTGTGTCCTGCAAACTGTACATGCTCAATATACTTAAATAGTGGAATCTCTTCAGATTGCAGTTACATTGTGAAGCAAAACGCAAATCCAGTTTCTCACATCTGATTCCTCCTTTCATTGATAACTAAATGACCCTCATTGTCCAGAAGATTGTGATTTTCCTTTTTATAACAATTAAAAACGTTATTTCAAGATGAGACACAGAAGGAGCTGCTGGGTGTGTTACGTGAAGATAAATGTTTGGTTATGGCGATGCGGACGGGTCAAACTAGTTCTCAGGTTCCCGATGGAGGAGGGCATTGTGGGATATCAGTGGAGTTTCCCTGAGGTGTCCCCCATCCTTAATCTGATAGCAAAGCCCAGAGAGGGTATCAGATAAGGTCTAAATCTGTTGATTGCCGATGAGACCTAGAGGAGGGGGAGTCAACCCAGCCTTTGATCCTCAGGGTGAGCGGGGGGTGGGGGCTACTTCCCTCGAACCTTGGTGTTGGAGGACAGAGGAGAATCAAGTCGATATGGAAGCGCACCTGCTCGTTTATCTCGGTAGAAACTAGGGGAGGCTGTGTCAAATGGTCCATCCCCAGACCCTAGATCAGGCTCTGTTGAAGAAAGACAGCAGTTGGAACGGGGCCTCGCTGTCCATCAGTGTGTGAGGACATGTGATCTGTAGTCCTAATCCATGTCTGATGCAGCTGTTAACCTGGAAATGTCATGCGTGGGATCTCATTTTGATTGGACAACAGTTGCCCAGTTTTTTTACATCAGAATTTTTCATTATTAAACTAACTAGTCAGAATGGTTAAGAGATGTATCGGTTCCTTTTTCCGCTTGATTTCATTTTGTTAAGGAGGCGGATCTGGCTAGCAGGGCTGCAATGAGTGTTTTCTAATGAACACTTCTGTTAACATGCACACATCTGAAAGATATTCAATGTCTGAGGATAAAGAGCGGAACATCCTCACAGTTTAAAAGCCAAAAACACAAAGTGTTGCTGAATAAATGACTTGAACAATCAATTATCAAAATTATTCATCTGATTACGAAGTTATTTTGACAGATCATTGCAGCTCTACGGCCTAGACTTAGATTCACATTAACCTACATAGCACCATTATTATACAAAAGATTAAAGCACCTGAAAACTTGATTCCCAATCTTAATTATTCTCAATAACATATAGGACCTGATAACACCAATCAAAGTTACAAAATAGACACAAAAGGCGCTGAGGTAAAAAAAAACAGATGGACCGTTGGGGTTGGTTTGATCACATTTGATTGACATTGGCTAAATACAAGAGAACCGTAATCTGATTTTGATTTAAATGTTGCTAAATGTTACATTTGTGCTCTGAAATGTGTGAGATCAACGAGCTAAAAGAGCACAGAAAAATACAGGAACATCTTATGTGGAATACCTTGTGTGATTGAGTAAACAAGTTTTCAGGGCCTTTAAATGAATATCTGTAATATCTTCTACAATCAAAACAGTTCATACATGATAATAACACATGCTGTTCAGTGACTAGATCAACGTTCAGCAACAAGTGGTCATTGTATGCCTCTAACACTCGATCAAGACTCTCTATATCTCATCAAAGAGGTGAGTGAGGGCCGGCAGAGCTGTGGGTGAGGATGTCTCAGCGTTACCTGGCCAGATGATCGCCTCCAGCAGCGTCACCCTGCGAGCCAGAAGCTCAAGGTCTGCCTGCAAGTCATGGAACATCTGCAAGCTAATGTCCTATCAGAAAGCAGTGACAGGGGAACTGTGTGAGGGGGGTGGAAACACCAGCCTGAGTCCTGGGGCTGCTCGCAACTGTTCCCACTCCCTGTCCCAGCAGTGAGGTGCGCTGGGAGACTTTGCCCGTCCCCACCTTTTGACCCCTGCCTAAAGCTGACCCTGCCTCAGGCCTCCTACTCACCATGAATACCGATCATAGTCTCAAGGATTAAAACCCTCTCGGCTAAGATCTTCAGCGCCTCTCTGATTTGATGTATGCCGTCCCCCTGTGAAGATAGATACAGCCGTCAAGGTAAGGAGCACAAGCCAAAGAACTGCTCGCCAAGATGCAAGTCATGTTGTTTCTCTCAATACAGTTCAGCAGTTAGAAGGTTAAAACAGTCCACATATCGGCACCCTGTATTTCTCTGGATCTCCCTCATTCTCTGGCCATGCTGCTATATGCAGTCAGTCTCTGCCATGCTAGGCTGGGCATCGTCAGCATGCAACGTTACAGACCAGCCTCTTGTTGGTGACATAACCATGTGGATAACCAGGATTTAGATTTGATCATGCCGTCTGCATTACTTTTGTAGGGTAGCGGTTAAGCCAGGCACGTTTTTTGTCAGCACCACAGCCTTCATTCTTAACGCTGCGGTCACACAAGTTATTATTATACAAAATGAAGCCAGTATAGATTTACACTGAAATCTCATCTATCTATTTTGAAAGCATAAATCAATGGCTTCATGAGTTGTACGTTAAAAAAGAACAGGAAAAGGATTTGAACAAGAGAAATAAATAGGACAGTTGAAAGAGTAACATCACAAAAGAAGGCATGCAGGCAATAGCTGAGGCTTTTGGTGAAATGTTTCCATTAGTAAGACAAACCAAGAAAAGAAAAAGGCAAAGTTTCTCTAAGTTTTGCAATGACTGATTACATTTTATTTTGAGGCATTGCTACGTTCTTTGGTTTGTACTGACACGTCGGTGTGGGTTCCCATTAACATCTTTTACAGACATTCATGATGCCCTCAGGATAAATTGTTTTGTTGTGATCCTCTGACTTTCTGAACATCAACCTTAGCTGTTCTTTGTGTCAAGTGAGAATTAACTAATTACTAAACCAAGATGGCGACCACTGTAGACATATCTGCTAAACATCAGCAAGTTAACATTTTAACATGCTGACATTACAGTACAGCCTCATATAGACATTAACATGGCTGCATACTCTTGCGAACAGATACATAATTCTCAAATAAGACTTAGAACTACTTTGCCTTAGTTCTGTTTTAACAGCACTGTGTTATCTCACTTAGTAGATGCATTGTGTGATTGTTTTACATCCAGGAAAGAAAGTACTTAAGGATACATTCATGCAAGGTTGCATTGTGGGATAAAAGAGGGTAGCTGTATCCACTCAACTCACATCAGACCACAACACCTCTAAACCCAACAGGACCGACCACTGACACATATGGAGTGATTTGGCATATACATTTCACTTTTTTGCTTTGAGGTTTGCTTTTTAATTCCGTAAAACCCAACAAAAATAGTGGATTTTAAATAAAGTGCACGAAAATTTGCTTCTAGAGAGGCTTGACTACATTTTAGATTATTTCACTCTTTGAGATTGGTGCGTGGGGTCAGTATGAACGTTGTTTCTTGGTTTATTTTCATGTATATGCCAAAGTCAGATGCTGAAAAAGTGACTGTGAAAGGTAGCCATGGGGACAGTAGCTTGCAGAGGGAGTCAGACAGCTTTAGGGTCAAGAGGACAGTGTCGTGACAGGGGACAGCAGTCCAGAGCACACCCCAAGGACCAACAAAAACACAATAACATCAAAAATGTTAAGACAAATTTAGAGAAATTAAGAGAAATCAACAGGTAAAATCACATATTATACACACTTTATGATGGACAGGAAAAATATGGATTTGAGAGGAGAAGAGATGAACACCACGTGGCCAATCACAGCCATGAACATGGGGATTGTAAAAAGATCAAAAACAATAACCATAAGAGATGTTGGACCTGATTTAGATTACAGAATAGATTCATTGCAAAGTGAACATGTGATGACATAGTTAAAAAGATATCTTACATTTAGATTGCTCTTGTAAAATGAGAACGATGTAAAAGGAAAATAAGGGTTAGACAGACACAGAGAAATATTTAATCTTCAACAAAGGAATCTTAAAACGTATTGTTATGTATTATATAAAATCTAAAGTCAAGCCATTCCGTTCAGGCCCCGTCAACATGCACTAAAAAAAACTTGATTATGTTAGTAGATTTCACATTACTGAATTAGGTTAGTTGAAAGCAATACTATTAAGTTGAACCTATTATTATTGCTTTCAATTAAACTAATACAGTTATGGAAAATCTGTTGACATAATACATGTAATTAAAGTCCTCCTGTTCAGGTCAACATGTGAAATACCCACAACTACTTTCTTACCGGTAAGCCCTTCACTCCTGGCTCTCCCTTTGAACCCGGTGTTCCCTGCAGAGAGATGTTACAACAGAAAAGATTGAGTGATGAAAACGTTGCATCAGTTTAAATGACAGATGGAGCACGTTGCTGGTCGGTGTGGTTTGTAACGCTGCTGGTTAGTGTGGTTTACAGTAATATAACCAACTATGACATGTGTTGATGTTTCCCCCCCCATATGCTCGTTTACTCGGGCCATAATCATGGCAGCAGCAGGGTGGAGGTGGCTTACCGACTCGCCTCTGAAGCCCCTCTCGCCTTGGTAACCTAAAGGACCCTGAGAAACCAAAGGCATGTTGTTTAAGGATGTAAATGGAGACAACTGGAGAGTATCATGGAGCTGTGGGTGTACTCACTCTCTCCCCTCGCTCGCCTTTTGGCCCCACAGGGCCCAGCGCTCCAGAGGCTCCATTTTTACCCTGCATAGAGTCAGGAAGTAAATTAATTAACACAATGATGAATCTGACGGAGCTAAACTCAGTAAGTGCAGGACTCTGCTGTGAGGGAGCTTACATTCTGTCCTGATGGGCCGGGAAGTCCTACTGGGCCTCTGGGACCGGGTGGACCTGTGATACAGATAGAAACACTCATTTATTATTATC